CCAGAATACTTTCAGAACGGGAGAGGATGAGCAATGTTGTCACTGGCGCGGGCAGCCCGAACCCAGTATACACTGGGACCTGCAATGATCAGAAGGAAAATAATGCTAGCATGCAGCAAACTGCACTGCATATTTCCAACGCTGCGGATCAAACATCACTTTCTCTTTCCAATCGAGGATTGGAAACGATCGATCTGGAACGATGTATAGTTGGCAGTACTCTCCAGTCTTATCCACAGCTRTCGACTCTACAGACATCGYTACTGCCAATGTTTCCACCATCGATGCGTTCGATCGTCCGGTTGGATCTGAGCCGCAACAATCTTAACTCTTTGCCGAAAGAAATATTCGGAGGATCGCTGGAATTCCTAAACGTGGGTCGGAATAAACTCAAAGAACTGCCGCCCGAAATTGGCAACTGCAAGTGTTTGAAAGAGATAATTGCTCTGTCGAACAATCTCCGGTGGAGTGGCTTCCCTGTTGATTCGATATCATCGCTGCCGTTCCTAGAGGTTTTGGATCTGAGATGGAACAAAAAGATGAACAGCCAATCGACGCGAAAACGACTTCTGGAACTCTTTCAACGAGCCGACCACAAAGACCAACAGAAACTTGTGAACGTAATTTTGTCTTCAAAGAACGACGAYAGCTCCGGCTTGGACACAACCACTCTTCCGAAAAAGCTATCGGCCTGTGATCGGGATGYGAACGAGCTRCGATCACAACTAGAACCACTGAGCACACCCCAGTTGCGTAAGCGCCTTTTCCGGACGTTCGACGTAAAATTCGACGACCATGATGAGAGTTCATACGATCGCGAAGTCTTGATGCAACGGTTGTTGTCGTGCTACAGGAGTATTAGCGGTTGTGAAAAGAACGTGCATCCCCTGTGGATGAGGTCTGTTCGGCACGAATCCGGAGTGGCATTGGATCCAGCGTTAGTGAAAGAACTCGTACAAGAGATGGAGGCKATACGCTGGCCTCGAACGACAAGAGAGCGGCCCAAGATTTCCGCTGAAGGGTACGTGATTCTACAAAGACCATTACCATCGGCTTCAACCACAAATAGGACCACCGCCGGGGCAGAAATAGATCCTTTATCGCAAAAAGCAAGCAACAAGGCCAAGCGAGAAGCCGAGAAACTAAAACGGTTCATGGGCATTTGGACCAAAGCCTTGGAAGCCATCGAAACGGTCGACAAGATCTTCGCACAGCAGTTTACTGCCCTGGCCGTCACAATGAATTTCAGGGGTAGTCCCCATATTGATACCCTAAACATCGCACCCTTTTATGGTTTGGCCCTAGGAGACTTCACCGGCGGTGGAAAATTGTGCGTGGAGTGTTCGGCAACGGAGGTGGCGGAAATTGACACCCGGGGGAGATTGGCAAAGGTCGACGGGCGGTTCTGCCACTGGGTATCGGATTACGAAGGAACGAGATATTCCTTGATTTATTACGTAACGCACGGAGACGTCGTTCCGCAAACCACTGCGATTTTTCGACCTCCCCGTGCCGGGGACGGCGGCGAGGACGGGGACGACGCCATTCCGTGGGTGCCACCTCCTTCGCATGTGGCGTGACAAGGAGATCTGTAGCRCYAATGAAACACTAGCATACCTGGGCTGTGGCGATGGAACGTGTTGGAAGATTGGTCCCACTTCCTGGCCTCGGTTACCCACCAGACTTGTGCCGTGGGGGCACCGGAAGCAWGCCCATTTCATGCATCGGATCTTGCCTCCAAACACAGAATTTCCAGACCGATACACCACCTCCGCTACGCAATGCTCGGCATTGCGCATCGCCTTGCAGACAGTCCKGTACCGCAAACGGATCGTATCCTGGGCACCAACAGGCCGAGGGGTGGCACCGAACTGCGCCAACGCGATCTACGTATCGAATCGTGCGAGGTACAGCAGCGAAACAGCAGCTGGCGCTGCTGTCACTGAGTACCGCAAAGCCCATTATCGTGCAGGACTTTTGCGTATGCAAAGCCTGGAGCACAACGGCATTGTCGAGGATGATGAGAACCAAACTCTTTCGAAACCGTTGTGAAAACGATCTTCAAACCTTTCGAAACGAAAACTAATCTAATCGAACCCRGAGCATTTCGAAGAGCGAAAGAGACACTAGTAATATTATGCACTGTAACTATTATATTGCGTGCTGTAGTCCATSGTGAGTATGTTGTGCTATTGTGGCACATAGACATCGCACGCCGATGGTATTTCGATGACGCAGACGGTATTCGTTGGCAACGAAAGACACCGAACGCAACGCAACGCAACACACACTATCCATTCCACTCCGTATTTGTTTTTCATTAGCTGTTGGTGTCATCTCCGGCAGAAAGGCCACGCATTGTTCGTTAGTAGTATGTTCTTTTGCGTTTGTCCTTCGGCACATTGCTGCGCKCTAAACCACAGAAGGCATCGATGCGGATGATGATGATGAAAGTTGCTTCCGATCTCTGCGGTCCCGTTGTTTGTTGTTGGGGGGTGGTTTACGGCTCTCACCATACGGGTCAAATGTTCCTTTGCTGCTSCCGCCCTCTGATTTTTGTCTCGTTGTGGTGGCACATGGACGCGATTTCGGCTGGTTCCGTGCGGGTTGTTTCTGGTGGCCGGAGTGGGACGACGGGGATGGCTTCGCCGTTGTCGACGATTTCCTCTGTATTCGACCCCTGGTTGTGGGACCTTCCCCTTCCGATTTTCGCCGCGATTCCATCCGAGCCGCTTCCAGCCTGGATTCCTCCAGGGCCCGCCGCAGGATTTCGTCTTCCGATTCCCCGTGGCTTTGGTCCACCAGGCGGTCCCTGTGCCCGCTCTCCACTAGAGACAATTGGATTGCCTCCTGGAGCTGCCGGTCGTTGTATGAGGCACCGCTGCGCGCGGAAGRACCCGCTAGGGACGATCCTTGCTTGTACCGAATGTTCATCCCACTCCSGGAACYAGCGCTGCTGCTGCTGTTGTTCTCCGGCCGTCCACCGGCAGCGTCGTCCTTTTTCGATAGGCAGAGCTCACCGAGCTGCATCTCCGCCATGCGGCGCATCTCTTCCGTGGCAGGTATTATGCTCGACGCACCACTGGGTGGTTCGTCCCATACTTTTGTCCCGGTCCTCTGGTTTAGGAAATAGCTCCGTATATAAACGTGGTTATTGTCGCGGTTGGGGTTGCTGTTGCTGCTTTCCTTTTTAAACGATTTGAATGCCTTTTTCAATATGGGACCCAAGAAATCGCTTTTGTCTCTACCACTCGGCGCCTTCCCCCCAGATCTTTCTCGGAGGTTTCCCTTTTTGGGCACCCATTTCTCGCAGACGGCCAGATATTCCTGCCAGGTGTCTCCATCGGCCTGGATCAACTCCTCGGTTCGTTTCTTTCCAAGTCGATTCGTCACCGCAGGCCTGGGCGCATTGAACCGAACATCGTTTTCGCTGGTGTTGCTGGCAGTGCTCTTGCGCAAAGATCCTGAAGGCATGGTGAATCGAGCGAAATAAAATGATTTTAATTGAATCGACTGAAAGAGGAACGGTATCACATGATATAAATTCGGATTCGAATCTCTTCATCCGCAATCGAGGGGGAAACAGAAATGGATTTTGTCTTCTCTTTTCTACTACGTAATTCGTACGATTGACCTGTTGCAGGAGCATTGCCTCCTTTTTCCATACGGCCATGTGCTGAAACTACTACTACTACTACTAGTTAAAGTGCTGGAGCAGCAGGGAGTGAAGGGATTGGTTATTACTAGTAGTACTAGTACTACTAATCCAACAGTGGTGGTGGATGGTGGTCCAGCAGTTGCTGAGATTTAGTAGTGCTAGTAGTAGGAATCCCAGTATTAGTACTAGTAGTTTGTCAGTGCCATACTAGTGAGTGCCACCAACAGTAAGTGTTTTATTGTAGAGAAATTTGTAGAATTGATTTTGATTTCAGTTTAATTCTACCACCAGCATCACCGCCTTGTTGTTATTACTAGTAGCAGTGTTTGCTGATTTGAATCCTCAAAAAAGAACCCTGTTGATTTTGTAGTGTTTGTTACTAGTAGTAAAAGCTGTCATGCCTTCTTAGTACTAGAACCTTTTCTGGTGGCAATCTGTGTACACATAGATGGTAATAGACACTACTACTACTACTACTACTACTACTACTACTACTACTACTACTACTACTACTACTACTACTACTACTACTACTACTACTACTACTACTACTACTGGTGAAAATATGTTTCTGGTGCTTGTTGTTCTTGTACTAGTAGTAATTGTACAGAAATAGTTGCAATAGTCATAGTGAGTCATTGTGTACTACTACCATAGTAGGGGACAATCTTTGGTCAGACGTCCAAAATAGTCATAGAAGACACCTATTTCAGACAAAGCAATTCATTGGCAAGTACTTCCTCCTCCGTCCATGAATGAATGTCCAGTTTGCACTTCTACGCTTGGAATAAGCTAAATATTTCAGTGATTGGAATGCTTCTTTTTTGTTTAACAGATCTATTCTAAATTTATACAGTTATGATGATTTTATTTACTAAAAGTGTGTGACATACTTGCAATAGTTACTCWAAGGGGAACTTTTTTGACATATGAATATGATTTTWCTGCCATWTAGGTTCTACTGGTCATTTCAGCACTGGAGTTCTTGCAGCTAAAAAAGCTAACACTGAGTGCTTCATCATGATACTCTTCTAGTATTTTAACATAATGTTCCTTTATAGGTCATTCTTGTTAAAGAAAGGTGCACCATACCATCGTCAAAATTGTGTTTGCCGTGTCAATAGGCTCAATTTTCATGTGTCAAAAATTAATTTTAAATCACATCCATGCACAAACCTAGTTTGTAGTACTGCTTGTATGTATTCTATACAGTCATATTTTACTGGGTGTTGAATGGAAATATTGAAGAGTGTTAGTAACTAAATATGGGGACTATCATATTTGGACAGCAAAAAAGGTCACATTGGACAGTCATGATAGATGAATGGAGGAAGTACTACTTTATGAAGAACATTCTTAGTACTCTATGGTACTGTACTACTACTGAACTCAGAATCACAATGATACCACCAGGGCCCTCTGTTAAATTTTGAGGAAGACAGTTGCCAACCAAGATCAGGGTTTCCCATAGGTTTTTTTAATGTTTAAACAAAGAGAAACAAAGAGAGTCGCATTGTCCAGGCAATATTCTTATCTTTGTTTCTTGTTGTCTTTGTAAAATAATCGACAAATACTAAAAGAGAAAACAAGGAGAGGCAATATTGTCTTTGTTTTTATTTGTTTCTTTGTGTATGAAAGGAACAAACTGCCCCCATCATTTCACCTTGGAAAAACAAAGATAAGACTGCCCAGGAGATCACATGATTCGTCACTCTTCTTACTAGTACTACTAAACAAAGAGAAACAATGCAAGGAACATTGCCCAGGCAAAATTCTCTGTGTTACTCCTTGTTTAAATAAGAATGGGAAACAAAGAGAACCAAGGAGAGGCAATATYCCCTTAGTTTCTCTAACATAWTGAGAATATTGCCCATAACAAGGATAAAAATTCTCTTTGTTTCTGCTTGTTTTGTAGGGTGTACGGGAAACTATTTTATTCAAAAATTCTAACGGAGGTCCCAGAATATTGTGACGTCATTACGTCATATCGAGCCAGAAGCAATAGAAACTGATTGCCCAAAACGAAAAAAGAGATGGGAACCAGATCATTCGACCATGTCACGAAGATAAAATGCTTCAAACCTGACATCAGTTGCCAGCTGCCTGTATTTCAATTACTTCTAACAACAAAAATAATGTATTGAATTCTCGAACGTATCATATTCTAACGCGACAATAAAATGGCCAAACATCGACGACTTGTAAACTTTCTCGTCACCGTGTTGGTGATTTCAGTGATTGAATTATCCACATACCCCGTTCTCTCATTGTGCCCTCAGGAGTCTGCAAGGTCGCAATTTCCMGCTCGAAGCCATGATCGGCTGCTCCAGAAGTTTGACGATACGAGTTCGGTATCATCCAAAGATCAACGGCTGAGTCGTCGCGAAKTGTTTCAGAGCACTGCCTCCGTTGCATTTGCAGCTATGACGGCGACGACAGCATCGGGCTTTCTGGTTGGTTTGCCGCCCGCGGCCAACGCTGCCGCTCCACCATCGCCTTCCGAGTTGGAGCGACTCCGCAAGGGTCATGCGCGTGTCCAATACCTGCTCAAGAACTGGGACGAAGTTACCMAGGTCTGCAGAAATAATTCGGATCAAGCCATGAAGCAGGTTGTTCGCACCGACGGTGGAGATAAATGCGAGAAGACGCCTCTGAATGTTCAGATATACATGGGGTACAAGTCAACTGAAGATCCATTGTACAAAGCGGACAAATTGATGGTGCGGGCAGCACCACTGATCAAGCCGGAATTTGACGAGGCCGACTATTTAGAAGTCGTCGAAAACTACAAGGAGAAGGCCGACAACACGGCCATGATGGCGTATACCAGTTCATGGGGAGAAGCAAATCCCAACGGGGGAAAAGATGCTGTTGACGAATACCTTGAAAAAACCAGATTGGATGTGGTCTCATCAGAGAAGTCTTTGCGACAAGTACTGAACTTCCTTGGACTGGAGCCCTTGCCACCCAGCAAGAATCCCTAAGCCAATTCCGAGGAAACCCTCGATTGGTCGGATGAGAAGTTCAACAAAGAATGGAACATACACGTGTTTCCATATCACTTGCTTCAACCAGTAATCTCAATTTGTGCAGGTGCGCAAATCCATTTTAAGCTGGCTACTTCTCGTAACTTCAGCACTCTAGAGTCTGTTTACTCTATGGTAATCTAATTGCCCGTATTTTACCGAAGAACGTACTACTATCGCAACGTGAACATATWGTCTTTCTATATTACCCACTTTGCTACTGGTACACCAACTCTTTGATATCGAACGCTGGAAGTATTTTTTTCTCTCAGTAACAGATTGAGGAACTGCCCACTCTTTTATTAACGATATCGCTTCAAGTACAACAAGAGATTGACACAAGAGAATATGGTTGACGGTGCTTGGCAAGACTAGTCGTTCCATGCAATTTAGCAATAATCGTCTCTAATCTCTTAATATAATTCACATCATCATCCACCAATCTATCAGCAACTAAGTGCCTATCATGAAGTTGAACCCAAAGGTGATAGTCAATGGCTCAGCTACTACTCTGCTGACGTGAATGGAGTATGACTGGGGAATCTATGATCTCCTTTGGGGCCTCCTTCATTGACTCTCCCATCTACATGGTATTCCTTTGATTCCAGCAATAGGATCTTTGGCAGCCTCCTCCATTGCCCTGGCTGGTTCATTTCTCATGGAGGTGTCATGTTCCCCCCCAGTATTTCCAGGCCTGCAGATGACACATTGTTGCACATCTTGGTGTTCTTGCCATTTACTTCTTGGTGCGTTCTTGCTTGTTTGCTTCTTGTTATTTGCTTGTTGTTCTTGATATTGCTTCCTGATTTTTCAAGCATGAAATACACCTCTTTGCATCACTACTACTAGTACTAGTAGTAGTACTAGTAACAAGAGGAAGGGACATGCAAAATGATTATGCTGCTCACCAAATATAGTATGTGCATTTTGCACTCTGTTGAGCAACTAGTACTAGTAGAAGGGGGGGGGTACTGGCACTACCAAAGCTGAAGTAGTGCTGGTCTTGTTGCACAGTAGAAATTCTTGCAGCACCAGAAGCACCAAGAAGAACAGAATGATGGGGGCCTTACTTCTTGCTTGTTACTGCTAGTACTACTAGCTACTACTAGCTACTAGTAGTACTACTAGCACCCACCAGCACCAGCACCAGCACCAGCACCAGCACCAGCACCAGCACCAGCACCAGCACCAGCACCAGCACCAGCACCAGTTCTCGTCCTCCTCACTACTATAGCATCCCCAGCATTAGTAAGTAGTAATAGAGGTTATCCAGTAGCAAGCACTAATTGAAATTTTCAAGTAGTAGCCATTGATGTTATATCCCAGGTAGTACTAAGGACCACTAATAGAAATATTTTGGGACTAGTTTTTTTGTTTGGAGGGGGGGGGGGAGAGGAAACAAAGACGGGAAATGAAAAAAATTGACAAGCGGGAAATTGCCTTTGACTTTCAAGCAACGGAAAATGGAAATACAAGGTTTGTTACAACCGTACTTCGCTTAATTTTTAATTTTGGCTGCAACTTACGTAACTGCGAGGTGAAGGATTGAAGGATTGAGGAATTTATCTGTGCTCAACAACGACGGAATCAACCTCAACATCTCAAGTATCTCCAGAGCGATCCAACTTTAACACAGTTTTCTGCTGGTTTATCTCGCACGAAACACGATGGCGCCTTTGGGGACCAACGGCGGACACCAGGTACGCAAGGTCATCGTTTGTTGCATAGAATCAGGATAAAGGCTTTGCTTGGTCTTGTATTATGAAGGTTGTTTCGTATCGCCCATCGCTTCGACGTGATCTTCTTCAACAAAACAAGTTCATTTCTTGCCTACCASTTTCTGATTGCTCTGATTTCTCTTCCGCTTTCTCGACTTCATTGTGCATACATGGATGCGTTTTTTGTCACTCTCGGATGAAAAATCAGGTCGGTGCTAACGCCAACGGCAGCTCAAGTAATGGTGTGGTCGGAAGCCCTTCATTTTTCCAACGATTTATATATCGCCCAATGTTTGGTTGGCTGGGATTCTTTTTTAGGTTGGCTTTGTGGCCGCTCCGACGGATTAGCGATGTTTTRTTGCCTCTGGGAGAATACGAGGGATTTTCTGAGAATTCGATGGAAGGTGCCTCGAAACAGTTTGTTTCGTATCTCAAGAAAACATTGCTATTGAATGACAACGCCGGGAATGACATTGTAAAATTATTCTCGACCAAGTCATACGCAGAGGTACAACGAGAGGCCGCTTCGTCCGACGCCCTGATCATGGTTTATCTGTATTCTCCCTATCATCGTTCGACCGATGATGTTTGTCGACGACTCTTGTGTTCTCCTTCCATGGTGAGATTCTTGACRGAAAACGAAAGTCGCGTCAAGGTCATCGGGTCGTCAACTGCTACTTCGCAGGGTTCCATGCTATCTTATTCTTTGTCGGCCTCGAGCTTTCCTGTCCTGGCTTTGTTGCAAGCTGATAAGAGCAGCAACAGAAGTAACAATGCAGGGAGCATAAATCCGGGACCAGTCAAGTTGGTCTTCAAGGCTGAAGGTCCGACCTTGATCAGATTGACGGCATTACAACTGATGAGTTTGGTAACTACAACATTTCAAAAACACGAGCGAAAGGTCCTCGAGGAAGCAACCAGGCGATATCAAAGAGAACAGGAAGCGGAATTAMGGCGACAACAAGACGAAGAATACCAAGAAACTCTGCGTCAGGATCAAGAGCGCGAACGACAACGGAACGAGGCACGCCTGGAGGCGGAACGAGAAGAAGAGAGAAAAAGGCAAGAAGAGGAACAGAAAATTGCGGAAGAAACAAATCGTCTCGATCGCGCACGGGCGTTGGTTCGCGACGAGCCGCCCAAAGGAACACCGGGCTGTGCGAGAATCCGCTTCCGACTACCCAACGGAAAGCAACTGGATCGTCGCTTCGAAGGCGACGAGACAATTGGGTCTCTCAAAGCCTTTTTGATACTGCATTTTGCGTCGGAAAGCGACAAGAATGGTGCCGTAGTGAAGCGTGTTGCTTTGTCCACTAATTTTCCCAAAAGAACGTACGGTGCGGAGGGAGGGGAGAGTGACGATGATCTCAAGATTTTGAAAGAATGCGACTTGTGTCCCCAAGCTGTCTTGATGGTTCAAGACTTGGATGCTTAGAAACAGGGAATGAGGAGTTGCTTTTTGATAGTCTGAACYGTTAGTCTTGAAACATAATTGCGACAGGATTTAACCGGGGACAAACATAAACAGACTTCGTGATGACAGATCTTCCTGATTTGGAACCTCTTTGGATTATCGACATTGTCATGGCGTCCACATTTTGCATTTGCAGGATTCCGTTGAATGGGAGATCAATTGGCAACGAACATGTGACCAATAATAACGAGTGAAGGATGCAAGGCTGATAAATCCCATGGTTTAGTCTATCACTAAAACTCCATATAATTCTTCTKATACGATTCTAACGCACATTTCAAAGGCCAAAGTAGACGGCAGCCTACTGGTCTCTAAAAATTTCGTTCACGAGAYAATATCAAACGTTGTACCTCATAAACGTCAAAGAGATTGCTTCTGTCGCTAAGTGTTGAAGGGATTCGTTCGTTGTTCATTCATTGAATTTTTTTCGAAACCTTTGCTTACCTCAAGCAAGCGAGGTGACGTACGCAGAATACTCTTAAAAGAAAAGGAACTTTCTACCGTATTATTGGTTCGAAACACATACTTTAATAGAACAATTATGTACGTTGTACATCMTCGTTACTACCTAGGTCGATATTTGGCAGAGATATTTTGTTCACTCACGTAGACTTGTGGCGATAATATCTAAACAACAAAGCAACACCGCGCGGGTTGAGGTTCGACCCACAAATGACCAAAAGAAGACCGGATCCACGATTGATTCGGCTTGATTGCATCATGCTCATTTTCATCGATCCGTATGTCATTGCTGGCTGCCCTATTCATCCCCCACAATACGGAGATTTACACCAACATGGCTGCTACAATGACTGCGGCCGAGGCAATAAAACAAGATAGCGTGGCACTTGAACTCGTGGGAGCAACGACAGGAGTAGCGACAGGAGCCGCCGTGGCCGAAGGKAGTTGGACAGTGACAGGAGCCTCTGTGTCTGGTGCGAGAGGAGCAGCGGTAGGGACTTCGGTGGGCACTGCGACGTATACAGAAGGCGCCGCAGAAATGGTAGGTCGCATCGTAGGTGCCAACGAGGGGCCATCCGAAGGCAATTGACTCGGAGCGTCCGTAACAGGAATATCGGCGACCTGCAAGGCAGTAATGGCACCCTTCGAGTCAGCAGCGATCAAGACATCCGAGCGGGGAGTGAGAGCCATCTCTCCATCAACGGTAAAGTTAAAGGGAACTGTCCAAATGTCATCGACGTCATCGAAGTCTGCTGAGTGCAAAATACCATTGTCACTTTCCATGTAGTACACAACACGTGAATCACCATCAATGATTGCCTTCGTCTTGACGTACCCTCCGGTAGGGACGACAATTCTTTCTCTGAAATCCCAGCTCATTTTGACGAACTCCCTTGCAGCACTACCTCCGAAGAGGAAGGGCTCTAGCCCGTCATCACTCAAGGTAGGAGGTGCCCAAACGGGTTGTCCTGGGAAATCTTCGTTTCTAGTGAAACCAACAGAAACATCTCTGGCTCTGCTGAATCGYTTTGGTGTCCAGCCACGGAATCCGGAGCGAGAAACACCCCAGTACGCGGACATTCCATTGTTGGTCATGACAGGAGGAGTGATGGACTGGAAATCACGAATGAAACTTCCAATTTGGAAGTAGGAAATAGCAGAAGAATTTCCGGCAAAGTCACGGGGGAATTGAAATCCATAGAGGTATCCATCCTCAATGGTTGTATCTTCTGGTTTGGGAGATTGAGACCACATGATCATGTCGTTGGTGTTGAATTCACCTTCGCTGACTGGGGAACCGGAGGTGATGGGATCGTAGTTTCCTTCCTCGGGTTCGTGGAAGATYCCAAGTGGTCCGTAACGTTTGGTCGGAGAGTCTCCTGCTTCTCCACTAGAACCTCCGTAGAAGAAGGTCCCGGTTGTTCCATCGAGAATGGTGAAGTATCCGTTCGTCAAACCATCRGCGTTGTGGGTCAAGAAAACAAAGGAACCATCGCTTGAGATTTGAGGACATCCAGCAGCAACACCTTCCAAGTCTTCGGAAACCCAAAGTTCTGATCCGTCCATGCCAAGTGCAAYAACACGGCTGAGAGTCGCGAAGGGATAACATGAAGGGAATTCAGAAGAAGCAGGCGTCAGAAATGACAACCAAGATATCGAGTGAGAGAAGTGTCGAGAAGAGGCGATGATATCGAAYCAGCATCGGTTGTCAATAGAGTAACTTACGACGTGGGGCTYAAGCTATTTTCGTTGTCGACAACGGCGTAGACCATGTAGTCTCCGGTGGGGGCAAAAGTGACACCGCTGTGGGAACGAGCGATGCTTGAGCCGACTGCTTCGGGATGGTAAACCCAGACTTCTTCACCACTGTAGGCATTCATAGCATATACATTGGCACCTACAGTTGTCACGATTGCGTGCTTGCCATCGGGTGCCATGAAAACTCCGTTGCCGGCTTCGATATCGATCGAACCGAGRGTGACATCGGGTTTGAGCGTGGTGCTCCAAAGCASGACAGGTGCTTCCAACAGAGGTTGATAGACTGTTTCCTCCATCTCGTCATCGGCGACGGCGAATCTTGCGGATGCAAGAAGGATTAGGTTGCTTACGATGCTACTAAACTTCATCTTGGATACGGTACAGTACTTTGTTGCGACAATATGTTTCGCTAATACTACTTCAGAGAAATATGARGAGAATGCAGGGTACGTGTATTGGTGCGATTGCTGTGGTACCGGTAGTGACTGAGATGCTGTAGTTGCCAGGATTACTACTGGTTACAAGGAGAAAGGATTCTCGTTGGTTCAAGACGAACAGATTGCCACATTTTTTCGTAAGATCCATTTTAAAAACCCGCGCTTTTCGTATGATCAAATTGAATTTCCGTTCTGTATGTGAACCTTTTAAGTATCTCTTCGAACGACTGGCCTGCGCTATGATGACCACACCAGACCGTCTRTGTTGTAAGATCGTACCATAGTCACGCTTACAATTACTCTGCGCAAAGAGCTAAATTCTTTCACGAACGATCCCGGACCAAGGAGTATGGCGTATTCACATGTTGTTTCGAGTAAGGCGATACAAAGAATGTTCTTCGTAACGGTCTGGTCTTCCGAACAAAAAATAATGATGCATATCGAGAAAAAGAAAAAAGAGCCATCACGAATGAAAGTAAATCAACGATTGACCAATTGGCTACCGTACTCGTACGGTGCACTGGACTACCACTATCTTTAGTGCATGGTAGCCAATAGAATTCTCACAGTAGTAATGGACTTACTACTGAAGAAACAAAAAGAGATTTGTTTGTTGTGTAGAATCCATGCAAAACCCAGTATCCCATTTTTTGCAAATAAATTAGTACCTTGAAAAAAACCAGCTTATTCATTTTCAACTTAAACATTCAGTCATTATGGAGACTACTAAAAAAATCAGTCATATTTGTGATTAGTCATTCTAGTAGTAAGATTTATGAGAACCAAATTGCTCCCAAGACTCAAATAAATACTTGTAAGTCAAATTTGTGATTGATCATTCCAAAACGCAAAAGAATAACAGAAATCCTCTTAAGACTCAAAAATTATGTTATCAGTCATTTAGACGTTAGTAAGAAAATGAACCCAACAACAATAAAAATTGACTGCTTTGGCTAGTAGTATAGTGATGGCTATGAAAGCCATGATGCTACTATGACAGGCATGAGGATACACCAACTAATTCCTTGTTGGACAAGTTTGATTCTGCAGAGTCCTACAAAAAATAATCCAAGTTGTTCCTCTCCGTGAAGTTGGGGAAGAGTATCACAGACAAACATCGTATAAATGTCAAGGCCACCAGCAGCATCAACATTGACAGTAGCCTCTACAACAACAATTAGCCACCAGCAAGAAATGTGCCAACTAGTAGTACTAGTACATCAACAATGAGGAGGAGTCATGATTGTTGTCATGATTGGTAATTCCAAAATCAAACTGGTTGTTTTTACAAGACTTGATAAATTCTGTCAGCACAAGCCAAACAACCRTCAAAACAGAAGTGGAACAGCCCAAGACTAGCAAAATAAAGCACATGTTCTTGTGAAGAACTAGTAGAGGCATTACAGAAGCTAGAACCACCAGAATTTCTTGCTGGTGGGAGAAGGTTATGCAAAAAGTATTATGTCAACAAAATTGCATGCAATCATTGACTCTTCAACATGTACTACAAGTAAATGCACAAACTGTCAAGAAGGAGCAACATTGATACCATGCAGCAATCAAGATTTGAGAGAACTTAGAGCAATATCAGGGAAATCAAAGTTTGGTGGAAATAATTCTGTTTAGAGTCAAGAAGAATGCTACATTAGCTACTCTTCTTTCAAGTGGTGATGGTGATGTCATAAACAAATATTTCCATGTGTAAATTGAAATCTTTGGATGGAGGTAGTCCTTGAAGAAGGAGACTCAAAAAAAGTGATCACTTTAACTCCTTAAAGCACTGCAGCAACACCAGGAAAATGTTGATGTCCACAAGAATATTAATCAAGAATTATCAATGAAACKCAAACAAGTCAGAAGGGAATACTATGTTTAACTTAATTCCCAATCAATATTGSTAATGCAAGAACTGTTTGCAAATTACAGGGAAGATCTTTGGAAAATTTATTGGTTTCAACTTGGTCTTACACAARCAATTGGATTTATGTTGTGCTTTCACCACCACCAATGGTTTGTTTGTAAGGAGAACACCTCTTCTGCTTACTACAAAAAACAACACCAACAAAATCAATACCCAGGATACACAACAAATCAATGATATCCATTCTTATTTCAGAAATTTCAGAAACAACAAATAATCAAAGTGCTTTGATTGAATAGCTTCTACTACGTTCTTTCTGAGCATAACTTCCACCTTACTGGYACTAAGTTAATTTTTGCACCGTAGAAACTGTGTATTACTAGGTTTTATTTTCTACTTCCAGTAGTAGTATCATGTTATTAAGGTCATTTCAAAGAAGCATTAAATTAATGTTGGGAACCTCTGGATTAGTGCGGGATCAATTGWTTTTATATTCGTAGAATGGAGTCAAACATATTAAAGAAACTGCAACTTTGTAGATGAAAACGTTTATGACAGGCATAGTTATGATGTCATGGGAATCAGTATTAATCCTACCAGGATGGCGCTGATGATACCTACGAGTCCCCGAGAAAAAGAGAGTTCATCAACCTCGTTGCGAATTGCTGTTTCGAGTTCACGTTGCCATATCAAGGTAAAGACGACGTAGGCTAGCAAAATGTTCATTTCGTCCAATCCGAACAAACCAGACGCGGTTAATATTAAGGTTGTAAAAAGTTTGACAATAAATGCACCTCTTCGTCCAAACATTGCCAAAGATATGCGACCCCCATCGGTGTCTAGTAGWATTGATTTGATATGGAAAGGTGGGAAATTTTGAACAAAAAAAAGGAAAGGTTAACGTAATTTCCAGGGAAAAACAGAACAAAACATCCGAATCGTAGGTAATGGATTCTGTTCYAACTTACGACCGAGAGGTAAAAGCGCTAGGGAGTTTGTTAAGCATCCGATGAAACCACTGATCGCAAAAGGGTGTAGCTCCACGAATGCACCCGGACCTTGATCTGGTAGCAGCGTGTACTTGCCCAAAAAGAACTCAACCATCCCTCCGCCAAGGCTGCTCGATCGAACCAAATCAACTGGCAACACAGGCAAACTTGTKTCAAGCCCCATCTGACGGGTTAATTCTAGACCGACAAAAAGCAAGCCTATTGACACAGTCAACCCGGCAATGGGGCCTGCAATTGCGAAGTCAAAGAGTGCTTTCTTACTCGGGGGCGGTGATTTCAACGGAGTTATGGTTCCTGCAAGACCGGTGGAAAGAGACGGTACCACGTTTGGAAGTCCTATATCAAACTGTTTTTACATCGTGACAAACAAAAACAAAGACCAGTGGTTAGATTTCGTTCTACGCAACTGAGAGGGTAAGCCTCTACTGATTTGCGCTGCATTCGAATCGAGTCTTACTTTGTAKATGGATGCCACTATCCGATGCGCCAACTCATGAGCAACCAGTATGCCAATGAAGGAGAAATAAAGAGGCAAACACAGATTGAAAAACCAATCAATGTCGAGGTACACCGTCCCCGGAGCCGACGATGTTGCGCTGTCCAATGCCTTTTCGATGCCGGCATTGATTTTTGGGTTCAAGACGCAAGATCCAATCGAAAAAAAGAAAGCGGAAACCAAGCCCGAAACCGTTACCGCTGCCTTGGTGAGTGGTGCAGACAAGTTGTACATTGTCTTTGGATCCTTCGCAGTTACCATGAAAAGWGGAGTTAGATTTACCTCTAGCTCCATATCTTCGTCGTCTGGAGGCGACGGATCGGTAATGTAAAAGAACTCGATTTTGTCTTTCAAGGTAGGGTGATCCCGCAGCCGGTTGGAGACTTCTTCTACCATTCGCTCGTTTGGTGTCTTGGAGCTACTCTCGTCTATTCCCATTTGGTTGGTGCCCCGGATATAGTACCCTCCGATCACGCGCTCTGGTTTGCTCGTAACMATGAATATTTTCTTGGCGCTGTCGGTCAAACAATCCTTCATGAAAAGGTCCACGTCTTCGGGAGAGGGGCGGCCTTCTTCCAGCAACGCAAGCGATGGGAAGAATTCTTCTAGGTACCGCGACCGGTCGACGAATTCAACGTCGTTGTATTCCGGTGGTTCGGCGATCGGTTCCTGGGTCCCCCGGCCGCCAAACAATCCACCGGCTTGCGACAGGGCCACAAAGGGCTCGTCGATCGGCTGCAAAATCTCTTTCAGGACGCACTCGACGTCTTCGTYCCGGTCGGAAGCGACGACCCCCGCCTCGAGGCCGTCGATCCCCAGCTTGTCCGCAACGTACTGCTCTCGAACCGGCGGCGGCAGCGACAGATAGGCCGCGACAAAATCCTTCCGCATCTCGTCGGTCAGTGGAACGATCCGTGCTTGGTCCAGAAGCTGGAGCTGTAGCCCGTAATAGTCCATCTGGATTGCTAGTTTTAGGTCCTTGTACARATCAAACGAGGAGGCCTCTGACTCTGACTCCGCGTCGTCGTCCGTCCYGGAAGGCTCTGCTCCGGCGCTCGCGTCTTCCCCGGCTTCGTTCGGAAGGTCGGCCGAAGCACTTTTTGTCTTGGTCACGTTGATCCCGCCCCCTCCGACCTGGATGTTGATGAGGGATTCGTCGACCGGGAGCTCGTAAAGCCCGTTCCGCTGGAGGTACACCGCAACAAGGATGTCTGGGAGAGCCCTGATGGTTTCGTAGCGTTCTTCGAGATCGGCTTCCGTYAGGGGCGGCAATTGGTCGGGGGGAATGAGAATCCTGTCGCTGTAACCGATTCCTCCRTCGGGATCGCTTCCGGCCCCCATCGCAACGTTGTTTTCCTCCACCCTGGCTTCCAGCTGCTTGATTCGTTTCAGCAAGGCGTCCTTTTCCTTCGACGAGGATGACTCGAAGTATTCTTGCTTGAGGCTTTCCAGTTCTTGTATCTCCTCGAGCGGTCCCAGGATCAGCTTTTGTATTTTCTGCTTGAAGTGTTCCTGGAGCTCCGGGGCGTCGCGGAATAGCCCGATGCGTTCGTTCAGMGGCTTGCCCTGTGCCATCTTGTTGACGTCTCTCGCGACCGGCACGTACAGCTCCAGGTCGACGTCGTCGAACCCGGCCAAGGGCGGGAGGTTTCGGTTCTTGGGYTTGCCTCCGCTGGTACTCCCGCTCGAAGAATGCCCGGGCTCCCCGGCCGAMGGTTCCGCCGSCGSCGGCGGCTTCAGGGATTCYTCCCGGAGTTTTTCCATCTTTTCGTCCACCGACAGGCCCCCGGGGGCACCGGGCCCGGCCGAATCGGAAACCTTCRTTTCCAGCCGGCGGAGTTCCTCGTACAGGTCTCGGACCGTCTGGCCCCGCTGCTTTTCCAGCCAGGCGTTGTTGGAGAGTTTTTCCTCGAGGGCGGCGATCTTTTGCAGGGTCAGGCTGGCGTCCATCTTCTCCGCTTCTAGCCGCAGCCGCTCCGCGTCCCTCAGCAGCTTTTCGGCTTCGCTGGGTTCTCCGCCCCCGCCGGTGGGTGTGCCTTCCCCCTGTTGTTGTTGCTGCTGCTGCTGCTGCTGTTGTTGTTGTTGCTCCTGCTGCTGTTCCTGGTCCGGGTAGGGCTGTGGGGCGGCACGCAGGCGAACCGAACCCGCCCGATGGACCGGGTGGGTTCCGGGGATCGGGCGAAGGGGGTGCCGCTGTCCCGACGGAACCAATTGGTGCCTAACAAGCCCTCGCTGCCCCGCAAAGGCCTCCGCCGCCGGAAAGACTCCGTGGTTGGGACCGCAGCGGGACGTCGACGATAGCGACAGGATCGCACAAACGAGAGCTGCCGACACCGGCGTGACCGTCCTTGGCATGCTGGGATTGGTTGTGTGCTTCGGAGAAAGTTGTTGTTGTTGTTGTTGTTGCTGTTGTTGTTGTTGTTGTTGCCGCTGCTGCTGTTGCAGTATGTCGAAATGCTCGGGACGGTCGGTTGTTTGCAAGGGTTGTGCCAGGAAAGAGTGGGGAGTCCGTGCGCGGTGTTGTATCGTGTCGTGTTGTGACGAATCGTATCGTATCGTATCGTATCGTACGGAATAGAACAATGATGGTGGCGATGGATTGGTTCCTTGAAAACAAGCTGACACCCGATATAATTCGTTACTTAATGTCGTCGACGAACAAAGCAGAAGGAGGCGAGAATTGAGAATAGCAGGAATCGATCATCATCGATCGGTTGTGGATCGAGATTTCCGAAAGTTGAACTTGTCGTTCATTTTTTCGGAGGAAGGAGGAAAAGAGAGGATGAGAGAGTTCTTCTCACGGTATTCGTGACCTGGAAATACTCGAGACTGAACTGATCAGAATCGACGGGGGCTTCCCTCGCCTCTTCCCCCGGAATGATAGACATCTTTTTGACATCTTTTTTACAGTACCGGTAGTACCGTACGGTACGGTACAGTACAGAGCTTGTACTTCTTAGAATTCCGTACGTGCGGTACGTACGTAATATGCTACGAGGTGCGAGTACGTCCCATACTTTCGACTTCTTTCGGTTCAGTGGCGATGCGATGATGGATGGTGAGTTTTGTGAAGATGCGTTGAACGAATTCGGTGTTGCGGGTTTTCGGGGTTCCTCCTTCTTCTACTGTACGGTACGAGGTACATACCATACACAAAGAACCTTTGTGAATCAACGCTTGGAACTGGACGATGATCGTCCATCGATCGTCGAAACTTCTTTTGTTTTCTTCAACCACATTACTGTACTAGAAGTACCCTACTGCATTCCTTTGCATCGGGCACAAACTCCCCGCACAACCACCAGCTTCCGATCGCCCCTTCCATACCCCACTAGGCAAMAGCGATCGCACGCACCATGTYCGCTTCCTCKTCGTATTCTCGGCACCGTCGGGAACCACGGCGAAGGCGGAGGAACCTGGCGTCCTCCGTCGCCGCCACCACGGCCACCGTAGCCGTGGCGTACGGAACCTATCGCCTGGCACGATGGTACTGGGACGAGGAGGAGGACGGCGACGAGTACCACCAGCGCGAGTGCGACCGCGAAGCCGGCGAGGGAAGGGAGCAYCCGCTGGAAGAAGACCYCCCCCGCCCGTCCTCTCGTGCCGGGGAACCCCCAYCGCGCCCCCCGGCGAGCGCCGCAAGAACGAGCGGGGSCGACCCCTGGATSCCCCCCGCGGTGACCGGAGCCCTGGGCTGGCTGGCCAGGACCGCGGTCGGCGCCGTTGTGGCGGGCGTCCCGRGSGGCTCCGGACACCACGGCCCCGGGAGCGGCCCTTCCCGGCCGACGCGGCGGCAGAAGCTGGCCCGCTGCCGGTACAGGGCGGGGGCGGCCTTTGGAGGGTGCTTCTCGTCCCTGCGGCCCGCGATCGAGGGCAGGACCGACGCCTCGGTCCAGACGAGGGAGCTCCGGGCCCTGCGCAAGCGGAAACAGGAGCTGAGGGGGGCATCCACCCCGGCCAAACCCGGCCCGGGGGAAAGCGTCGCCGATCTGACCGACAGCGGAGCCTCTTCCGCCGCCTCTCCGCCCCCCGCGTCCGAGAACGAGCGGGAACTACGGAAACTGCAGCGCCAGGAAGAGGATCTGTGGCGCGAGATTCTGGTGCAAACCACGACCCGGATGGTGGTGTCTTCGTACGCCTACGCACTGCTCTTGCTGAGCCTGACGGTGCAATTCCACTGGCTGGAGGGGGAAGAATCGGCCTCGCCGGGAGGAATGTTTCCGGRTTCCGTACCGGCGCAGGAGGARGAGCAGCGGCGGCAACGGGAACAAGAGGCGTTTCTGATGCGGAGCCACCAATACTTGCTGAACGAGGGGCTTCCGCTGCTGGTGTCGACCGTTCGGAGGGCTGTGGAAGACGTGTGCTTTGGGGACGGGGACGACACCGACGAGGAAACCGAAGACGGCGATGCCRGCCGCGGGAGCGGCGACAGCCAACACTGGACGAATCCGTCGAGCACGTTCGTCACGCGCGAGGAAATCGAAGAAGCCCTTTGCGTGCGCCTTCCGCGGAGGCTGGAGGACGCCGGATCCGGTGGCCGCCATCGCAGGGGCCGCCGCCGCCGCAACTGGATCCGATTCGTTCTGCCCGACGAGGAAGCCTTCGATCCGATCTGGGACGTCTGYCGGAGCCCCGTCTGGGAGGACGCGCAGGAACAGGTGCTGGGGTGCCTGTGGCACGAGGTGCTGCGGGACGGCGGAACCAACCGCTCGGACGGCCGGGGCTGGGGCGGTTTGTTCCGGCCCGGCGAGAAAGCGAACCCCGCGGGACCTTCCGGCGAAAACACACCGCCGGAACCCCCGGGGCAGGGGGAGAAGCAACCACTGGTGAAGGTGATGGCGCGGTTCAAAAAGGCCGCGTCCTCCCTCTTCGACGACAGCGGTCCCGAAACCGGGTGGGAGGGCACGATCCATGGAAGATTGCTCCTGCTGCCAACCGTCYTGGAACTGGGGGACGTCACCCTCGAATAAACCAAAACGATTCGTGGAGGGACGCACCGGGGGATCGGTGGTTCACGTCTCGACGCGGAAGAAACCACCGGCCAGAGGGTTTTCGATGTTGTCTCGAACKGTGTGCCGCGTCCGCGAATGGGCAGKGGTCCTCTTCGGTGTCGCGCCCGAGTCGCATGAACTATTTTTGAAACGTTCTGGTCTGATCTGGTCTAGTCTAGTCGCTACGATTTGATGACCAAAAATCACCGCGACTACAATCAAGGCGGCGAGCCTTACGGTAAGAGTGTGGAGGGGACAGTACGAGAGAAGCTTGTGCCCTCGACATCTCGGTGTTTTTCGTACCACTGGAGGAAATCGGATCCCTTCGGTAGGCGTTTCATTCCTTGCTGCTGGCTCTATTAGATGCTATCCAGCACTAGCTAGTGACAGGTGGTGATGGGAATTTTGAAGTACAAGTAGGTATTAACGACTGGTAGTATTCTTGTATCTGTACTAGTAAGGGCTCCTGATAGAAAAATTTAGGGACTTCTAGTTTTTTTGTTTTGAGGGSGGAGAGGAGAACAAATGGAGATAGGAGCTGTTAGTACTAGTATTGTCACCAATGGGTGATTCCTGTTAATCTAGATGGTCAACTTTTTGGCAGACAGACAGACAAAAAATAGACCATCTAGTCCAAATTTTCAGACTTTCTGTCAACCCTCCATTAACCCTTGACAGAAGGTCTAAATCTAGTCCCAAATCCAATACTACGGATATCATAACAAGTGAATGCCACACTAAGAAATTGGTTCCCATCGTTATTTTAATGATGCCATCCTTAGCCCAGTAGAACACAGTACAAAATGTACTGAGGTAGTTTGCAACTATTCTGGTGGCGGAGAACCAATCCAGCTTCTTTCTCAGAAGGCAAAACATGCTGAAAATTTTGGGGAGCAACACTCAGTAGAGCTCTGTAGAATTTGTACTGAAAAAATTAAGGATAGCATCAATAAAATAACGATGGGAACCAATTTCTTAGTGTGGCGATCACTTGTTATGATATCCGTAGTAATGATAATCTAATCCACCAACAAGCATGAAAAACTKAGTACTGAAAAACCGCCATGGGCGCCCTTTTTCAGTCTTGAGGCGTTTCAGTTGAGATTCCAAAATCCCTTAGTAAGACTAGAAGAACACCTAAAAAATGTCCATTGGGACCCTGTTTTTAATGATTCCCATTAAACTAAAAAGTCTAAAGTACTACAGTAGACTGTTTAGACTTTTTGACCATCTAGATTAACAGGAATGACCCAATAACTTGCCAGCACGGGGAATGCGTTTATTGGCTCTACTACCTACTACCTGTACATACTTGTACTATGTATGTACCCGAAGGGTTCCGATAGTCACGAGTTCTTTCGGTCGAAGAAAGATTTTCGATTCCATCATAATTTTGGGTGATATCGTTGCTACGACGCAGGAAGATCCAATCAAACCCGAAGCAGCCGGGAACAACTTGTCGGACTACCAGAAGACGATGGTCAAGTGATTCCTATCGACGGACCATGCAATCCGAGGACTACTTCATCAACAGAAGCTCTGGTGGGGAAATCGGTGGATATTGGGAGCCGCACTCGAGTTCGATCGATTTCTGCGAAGCGAATTATCTTCTCTCGCACCTTGTCGTCGAACCGCACAACGCACTGAGCAGTCTCTGGGGGCTGAGCCTCTTTGGACTCGTCGGAATCTATTGGGGAAATCCAACGGGGGAGCTGCGATTCCATGTTGCGTATGGGATATTGGTCCTGATCGGGGTGGGATCGGCCGCCCTTCACGGGACGCTGCACTGGGTGTTCCAATCATCCGACGAGCTTCCCATGATTTATTTGGTGATAGCCGGCTTGTACTGCTGCCTCGAAAACGATGCGACAACACCAAAGTATCCGTGGCTCCCACACATTTTTGTGGCTCTTGGTGTCGCAAACACGCTCGTCTACTTTCGGTTTCAAAAGATCTACATCGTGTTTCTGCTTACCTTCGCATCGATGACGCTCGCCGTTTTCGTTGTCCATGTCAAAATTGCTCTGAAACAACGAAAGATAATGCTCGCACCAACGGATCCRACACGGGGCACCAAGATCGAAACCATCCGAAACAACGCGCGGATAGCGTTGCAATTTTATAGATGGCACTACTTGGTTTTTGTCGGAATAGCAACTCCCGTTTGGATCCTCGACCAGTTGTGGTGCGAAACACTGAAGCCCTTTTACGACTCCCTTCCTTCCATATTGCGAGGCTGTACCTTTCACGTGGTCTGGCACGCTACGGCAGGTTTTGGCGCCCACACAATCTTCCAGTTTCTCATTGCGTGCCGCATGGGAGTCTTCGAATCGCTCTGTCGGATTCAATGGATTCTTGGTGTCGTTCCGGTGGTAGCACCGGTCAAGCGTCTGAAAGAAAACGATAAGGAATGCTAGCAATTTTCAAYGGCAGTTTTGAACTGAATTGGTGCATGCAACAAGGAACGCATCGATGGAGAATGCAAATTCTATACGATCGACCGTGGATTGAATCAATTCACAAACTGCTAGTATAATCATGATCCGCACGTTCAGTATAATGTGTAATGCCTTGAAAGAGGTGTCCTGCCTTTATGAAGCTGAGAAACAGAAGATATACTGGCCAATTATTTACAAGAAATGATCTAAGAAGWAAGTAGGGTGATATCTCTTTTTAGCACTTATTTCTAGTATGAGAAAATCAGCTTGTTTTCCAGAAATGGATTTTGGATGACATGAAGACCTAGCTACCTTCCACCAATGTTCCTCCATCCGGTACATGAATTTTCAAAATCCAAAATYCCCTGCTAGCTACTAGAGCTAGTAGTACCAAAGGCAAGCCCCATGCTGGCAAAATACTGGCAATTCGTCCCCATACAACCACTGATATTAGATCCGCAGTAGTAAGGGCATCTAATAGAAATATTTAGGGAGGATTTTTTTTAGTAGGGAGGATAGGAGCAATATCTCGCCAGCATGGCTGGGGCTTGCCTTCAGTTGCTCTACTTGTAGCTACGAACAGTACTTTACATGAGGTTTCTCTTCATCGTGAACGGATCGTTTCTATTCTGGGCCCTCCGATCCGGAACCCACGCGCACTCATCCCCCCTTTGAAATCTAACTTTCGGGGGGGCATGGTACTGTACRTRCTTCATACGGACGTACGGTACGTACTGTACGTAGGAATTTTGGTGACTGAAGTATTTGAAAACTTAAGATTTCGAATTTTAAATTTTTCTTTAAAAATAAATAAATATCCATTAAAAGAATCAGCAGATGGAATGCTTCYAGTTTCTTCGTCACTTCCCATGACGACCATGCAACCTTGTTCCAGCGTTGCAGATATAGACGGAAGACATATGCAGATCAATATAATTGCAAACAGTCGAGACCACACTGGAACATAAAGTAAGCGCCTGGATTCGAGTAGTTACGTTTGTTTCCAGAACATTCGCAATCCAGAAAAGCTAGATCGATTACTTCGAGTTGTACGAGCTTCCAAATTGTCGGGCCCACGCTAGAACTGAACCTAGTGGCATCCATAGAGCTTAGTTCTTCGAAGATGGAAGGTATTGGAAATAAAAATGACCGGGACAACTTTAGAGATAATGGGATCATGGATTCGATTGCAGCCCTTCGATCAGTATTGATGCTCGATACTCCGACTCGGGTGGCCCTATCTGGCAGCCAACCGCAGCRTCAGCCGTGGATCTCTCCGATGGCGCAAGCCAAGAGCCCGGACTCGAAAAAGAAAAGCCCTGTGGAAAGAACYCCCCTTGGAAAACCTCCAATGTCGAACAAGCGGCTATCTTCGGTTCTGAAAACGAAAAGCACAACCAAAATACGTCCGTCGCCGGAAATGGACAGGGTGGGCACGGTCATGAAGAAAAAAGTGGAGGCACTAGAAACGTCCCAAACCAATTTAGAAAAGAAATTGCAAGTTGAAATTGACCGGCGAAGTTCGTTGCAGGCAACGCACGAAAAATTGTCGGACTTTCAGACGCAGCAGACATCCCAGCTAGAAAGGATGATAGCATCCCGAGATGCTTTCCGAGCTCAGGTAATCACATTAAAAAAGACTATCGAGGAAGAACAAATCAATCATATGAAGGCTGTTTCTACGATGAAGAATGCTACAAAAACAATGATCGAGTCGTTGCGATCAAAAGACAAAGAGGAGTCGATGGCCGAAATCAAAACGCTCGAAAAACGACTGCGCCAAAAAGAGGAACGCTACCAACAATCAGAATCACTGGTGAAATCTCTGACAAAGGAAGTCGAGAAACTGAACGCCGATCTAAAAACTCGACAAGGAACCCATGAAGTGGCGATGAAAGCTACTACTGACGCCCACGCGAAGGAAATATCTTTGTTGCAAGATATAATAGAACGAACTGAATCTGATCGATTGGAACATACGGAAAAAGAGAAAGAAATTGTCAGTCTAAAGGATAAGGTATGTACTTCGAGGAGTTCTGAAATTGATGTGCAACATTTTTTAAGAAAGTTGCTAGGCTGTGACGTCTTTCATAGTTGGTTCGTTTCCTTCCTCGGTAGCCCACTCACTTATAGCGCCTGATGTTGAATTTGTGTGATGTATGTAGCTGGAAAAAGCTCAAACGAAAATGGACAAGATGGAACAGGACCACATATCGGTTACTTCAAAAATGGAATCGGACAAGGCAGATTTAGAGAATTCCTTAATCGAAATGAAAAAACTTCGTGACGAATTAAGAGAAAAGGTAAGGAACATGTCCTTCATACTTGAAAGAAATCTTCGATATGATATATATTAGTTAGCAATATTCGGGCTGACTATTCGTTTCTGAAACTGACAGAAGGCTGGAACTGTGATCATGCACTATCCCTATGTTTTCAACACAACTGATCTGAATTTTTGCTTCTTCTTGATATGTGCAATTGAATAATGCATTTCCTTGGATACAGCTCGAGGATGCTTCTGGTGAACTGACACAATTGCACCGACAAGTCGAGGAGGCTCTTACTGCGAGTAAAACTTCCGAAGAAAAGGTAAGAGTTGATGATATGCGATTTTCACCGGCGAGCTCTCAACTACTGAATATTTCTATTAATCAGTGTGGCACCGCACATTCTTTCTCACKCTGTTGTTTGTTGTCATTCATTTTTTGTGAACACAATGGTAATAGTTACGTGACCAGCTTACTGCTTACAAGGCATTGCAGTCAGAAAAGAAATATCTGGAACGGCGAATGAGCGATGCCAAAGATATTCCGTCAACCGCGACCAGCACGAAGGAACTACAGGTTACCATTCAAAAACTCGAATCAGAAAAGCAAGCCCTGGAGCAACGAGCTAACAGTTCCGATGAGAACTGCAAACGTGTGAAGAAGTTGCTGGAGGGAACCCAAATGGAATTGAAAGGTTTGGAGCAAAATCTCGAAGAAGCTGAACGAATTGAATCTCAAAATGAAATTCTCAAAAAGGATTTGGAAGAAGCAAATAATGGAGTTTCCTGCTTGAAGGAAAAACTCGATGTCTGTGAATCGTCAAACGCAAATCTTCTAGTCGAAGTTGCCACCTACCGCGAAAAAGTTCGTGATTTAGAAGGTCGCCTAGAGGAGGTAAGATCATTCATTCGTTCACGTAGGAAAGGACTTCGTTTCTATAACTGATCAGTTCTAACATGATGATAACTTTTTTTCTGTTGATGGTGTAGCTTGAAGAGAGGGATTATTGTGACCAAGRAGAAAACACAGACGGAATGGAGAAAAAGCGTGACAATGACGAGGATGATGATAACGAAAGTCCGAGAAAACGACCCAAAATGAGGGTTGATGATCAAGATCAATGCGTTGAGGAAAGCGAAATTGCCATGTAAACAGAAGAATTGGCACTGTGTGTCTTCAAGATTCAATGTCGTCTGCAGTACCCTGGAAGATTCCTCTAGTATCTTCCAATCATTGCCTGTCCTTATTCTTCTCCCATTCAATGAAGTAAGAAATCTCTGTTGAAGGAGAACTAGTATAGCACTTCAGAAGGTGCAGTGGACTGAACACCCTACGTSCAATGCACTGATATATCCACATAAAGGTACTTCTTATTAGAGTAGAAAAAGAAACTAGTAGTATTATTACATTTAGCAATAAYTATTCTGTAATGGGCATTGCTCTCTTCTTATTCTTCGCACTACTTTTAGTAGCAGTATTAGTAGTTTTGGTTACTTCTTTTAGATACGGCATATGTTAATGGTTCCTGCAAAATAGTAGCCAATGCTAGAGAAGACCTCATTATTGTTTCAGTTGCTCTTTCTTGTTCTACTACTATTGGCACTACTAACACTAAGTCCTTCAATCGAAAAGGGACGACGTACAGACTGTGTAACATGCCAGTTGTTCTTGATAATGGCATTCGCCGTCTTTTTATGCTTGTTARATGACAGTTTTCAGTCAGTCTGTCAACCTACAGTTTTGAATTTCCTATTTCGAACTCATCACGAAATAATGGTCTTGATGTTTTCCCAAAGAATGCATCTATTTAATCATCTTCAGGATCATCATTTTGTCAAGACGATGGGAGTACTCTCAGACAGACCGTAAAGGAAGAGCTGAAACCCCGATGAACACTAGACTATGTGTCAAAGTAAGCTGCTTCGATATAATCTCCATCAGCTTTTTTTCGCGGTATTAATCACCGTAAATTCCCCTGTACTTGGATTCTCGTCGTTTTTGGATACATGCTGGGTTTCGCCGGGTTCGTTTGGTAGGGGACAAATCGATTCCTCGCATCGCTTCCGGTGCGCTTTGTATGCTGAACGCGAAGGATTAGTCTCGACAATTTGCCAAGGTAGAGAAGATCAAGTAGACACTTCCGTCGCTTCTCCATCGAGTCGTCCTCGTCGAAAACCCTCGGAATCATCAGTTGCTTACTTTGAAACTCGGTTTCAAGAATTGTTGGAATACCAGAAAATCCATGGTCACACCCGGGTCCCAAAGCGCCAAGGACAACTTGGTGGCTGGGTGAATAAGTTGAGACAGCGAAAGGATCGATTGCTCGAAGAGAGACTAGAGCGATTGAACGAAATAGGGTTTTGTTGGGACGCACGTGATGGCAAGCGTAGAGAGCGACAAACCCGATGGTGGAAACAGCTTGAATCACTTCCAAAAAAACAAGGCCAATTATCAAACCCAGCTACGAAGTCTGGCGGAGAGMCAACTTCCTCCCGTGATACTGAATTATCACAGACTTCGCCGCGGCAACAATCGTCCCTCTTGTCTTTCGACAATATGACTACTTCTCAGAAGACTTGGCTGCGGAGGCAGCGAATGGCATACATCGATGCTGGTTATAAACCATCTCAAAAATTAGATGAGGAGCAAATACAAGCGCTGAATAACATAGATCGAGACTGGTGGAAAACGGTGAGCAGCGCACTGAGTGGCAGCAGAAATTTTTTGAATCGCATCGTTGTAGACGAAGAAACAGCAGACAAATAAAGCGAACTAATTCGTCCATTGCTTCACGTTATTCCTATCTCGGTCAGGCTAGGGAACGAAAATGGGATGCTCAGTATTCTGCGCTGAAAGCATTCAAATTGAAACACGGTACGTTCTTGACACAACAAATACTGAACACTGCCCGCCTTTTCTCGTCACGGTATTGGTTTAGTAATTTACTGATTTCTTTATTTCTGCTTGATCAGGCCATTGCAATGTCATGGCTACYCACAACGAAAAGAAGCTATTCAACTGGTAAGGAGGTATCGTCGTTAGTTCGATTCATTGATTGATTCTTTCGAAACGACCTAGTAATTGACGGGATTTCTTTTCCTCTTCGTCCCTAATCCTTTTGCTTTCAACTTCGAAAGGGTTCAAAATACTCGTAAGAGTTATAGAGCTGTGAAGTTTCATAAAGAAGATGGACTTCGAAGTGATGGTTCTCCAAAGTTGTCGTCCATGCAGATAGAGCTATTAGATAGGATCGGGTTCACTTGGGACCCATGGGGACACTACGCTGACTACTGTTGACCATCACGCCTTTGAATGCCCTTGCGTTTTTACGCCTGGAAAACAAAACAAGTCCGTTGTGGACAGTATAAACCAATGACGATATTAAAGAATTCGAGACTTTGAAGAAATGAATTCTAATCTGCTTGRCGGTCAGAGCATTGGTCAAAGCATAATGCACCAAAATTCTTTAGATACGTTTACATATTAAAAGCCCCATAAACGCGTGAGTATCAATATAAGCAAAATATATCTTTACTCAATACAATTTAAATTTACAAATATCAGTGCATAGAAAAATACATCGGAAATGAATCTGAAATGTCGAACCTCTCGCGATCATCTGAAATTCTCCTTTCGATCGGCAAACCTGCAGTACAACCATCAGTCGTTTCTAAATAATCGCCCCCGAGTAAGAATCGTGCAGAGTCACTTTTGATTCTTTGTATCAATCATCTTTTGGTTTAAAGGCAGACGACCAAACTAACTTGGCAGCCGAGGATGACAGGCTGCGAGCACGATGACTTGACTTTCGACGGATTGTGTTCCACTCCTGAGAAGAAACAAATGACAATTGCAAAATTCCTGAACATGTCATCAAAAGTGCTACAACAACAAATGCCGATTGCGTTCTACAGTAGAAAAAGAATTCGTAGGACTTGTGAGCTTGGATCAAGATTTTGAGAAATCGAAGTACCCAGCTTCCAGACGAAGTGAATATTGAAACTTACGCAATGTACTTTGTTAACAGTACGCCAAGTGATACTGCCAAATTGACAATCATCCGAGGCACCATCATCATGGTGGCTCTTGCATTAGAGGGAAGATGTAGCGAACGAACCACTCCCTCATATGTCATAGAAACACCAACCAAAAATTCGTAGAATAAAAATGCTGCTAGAGAAATCGAAAATGATTCCGGTGATGACTTTTGAAGAATAGAAGGAACGAGCATGAGTACAGCTGCTGATATATAGTTTACACCAAGTAAGAATTCCAACTCCATTGGTCGAACGCTGACTCGTTTTGTGCCGACGTGAACCGTCTGCAGGAGTGAGGATTCGTCACTCTGAAGAAAAAGAAGAGCCACAGCATGGCGGATGTATGGAGCACAAAATCCACCAGCAACGCCAGCTGCCATGAAAGCACCGAATATCAATCCATAATTTGGTTCACCATTGCGGTCAACGGCCCAGCGAAACAAACCGAATAGCGACAAGTTGTTCGTTGTGAAGGTCGCTTCTTGGCCTGGAGCAAAGTTTTGAAGGGTAGGAGACCAAAGGAAGATAAATAGTTGAAGTGATCCTGCGCTTAGMCCTTGAATTACACCTAGATACAGAATTTTTGGATCCGCCCGAAGAGTTGAAAATCCCTTCATGATGTAAGCTCTGATGCTCTTTGATGAAGAGGACGAGTTTTGCCCCTGGTTGTTAGGCGAATGACCCTCATTATCAATGTCAGTTTCGAGACCCAGTAGTGTATCCTCTGTTTGTTTATCAGCACAAGACAATGTCGAAGGTCCACCGTAATTCTCTTTCCACAACAAAGATATAACAACAAAGGCGATTGCAGTGCAACTAACAGCTCCCCGGAAAGGGCCAACAGCACCATATCGTTCTGCCAACATATGAGCAAGGTAACCCGAAGCAATCGACGCCAAATTGCTAATAATGACAGAGTCCCTCATGATGAGCTCGTACTCATTTTTTGCGATATCGTCCTCATCATCTTCAACTACATTCCACTCGTTGGTAGATTCGGACACTGTTGTAGTATCATCACTACTTCGAGCAAAAGCGTCAACGCCAGGTTTGGCGGCACGGCAGCGGTTATGGAATTCTGTATCCAGCCAAGTTTCGAATACCGACGACAACAGATTTGTAGTAACGCCTCCCACGATCCGACTCACTAAAAGGCCGGCGAGGAACGGATACTGTTCCAACATATTTATACCAATCTCTAGTGCGCAATAAAGGATGGCAGATCTCTTTCGACCAAACTTGTCGATAAGGGGACCTGTAATTGGTGTCGTTACGCCCCCCGCAATAAATCCCAAGGCGTATAAAGACGCCACGTTGAAACCATACCCCTCGTACAACACATATAAATGGGTTCCTGGAATAAGAAAGAAAGCAGAGAAATCAGTACCACTGAAGTACSAACCCTCCGTCTATTGTTCCCAAATGATATCGAGTACATCAATATTACTCTATTACGCACCTTGTAAACCATCAGCAAGCATGATGATCAAGATTACCAAAAGATAATTTGCACGTAAACTCGGGAAGGACGGAAAAGAATGTCTTGGAAAAGAGAAAGAATCATTCTCTTCTTCATTTCCACGTGCTTTCCCAAAGTCAGATGACAATGACAATGATGATGAGATAGATACCGAGCATTCAGTGCTAATGGCGGAGGATACCATTAAGGCAGTTGAAGACGAACAATTTTCATCATCGTCTGGCTTGACGGAAGATACCGAAGAAAACAATGAAGAGTCATCGTTCTCATGTTTAACACCAATCTTCGATTTCATCTTCTTTTTCTCGTCAATTAATATCATGGCTTTCGTTTCATGAGCGAGAAAAATTGTAGACTTCCTCTTAACTATAGATGGAACTTCCATGGTTGTGTACCTCCACCAAAAATTCTTTCTGAACAAAGTGATAGGTTTTCACAGTTTTTGWGTGAAACGCATCCGAGTTTTCAACAAAGAAAGGATTGTCTACAATCGTGTGTTCTTTCCTTCACTTCGGTTTATTACAGTAAATTTATTTATTAAATTTATTAAACACATTTTTTTCAATTTAACAGTTTATGAACAGTACTTATTTGAAGTCCCGCTTGCGCGATTGCACGTGACATCGAGGTATGCAATCCTGCCAATTAGTTGGTCAATTATTGAAATTACGTTGTATGCACGTGTTCGTGAATCAAAATAAAGCGTGCGCTCCAACGTGGGGCCGTTACGGCTTTCTTTTTTTAATCAGGATGTGATTTTGAAGAACAATTATGTCGTAGATATGTCAAGGAATGTGAGAATGATCATTACGAGTACTGTTCCTAAATTTCTCCTTTACAACATACGAAGTATTATCGACGGTCATGCCTCGTAGCTCGGGTCCACAAGACTCCTCCAAGACAATCGGTGGACTATGTGCCGTTCCRCCCTGATACGACAGCTGTCGATCTTGTTCAAGAAGGTGAAGACCRGTACGAAAATTTAATTTTGAATATTGAARCATCTGCTGCACGTAGTTCTTTAAAACATCTWCAAATAATTATTGTCACCCATCATTACCACCACGAAAGTTATTTTGGTCATGAAAGATCTGCACCACGAGTAACAGTAAGCCTTGCGTTTTTTTCACGCACGGGCACGTACGCACTCGAGAATGATAGATTCGCCGAAATACCCAACACCATCAAGATTACCACTTGATACACCAAAAGCGTCGCAGCCCACCGATATTCTTTTCCAATAGAMACACAAATCTAATTGAAGATGCGAAAATCCTYGGGCTGGCCGATGAAACCGCACGAAGAAGATATGTATATGATGCAGGATTCCATGGTGTAAGTTTTGAATTGACGAAAGAATAGAAGAACATAAATCGGAATAATATCTCCCTGCTTCAGGACATTRCTTGTTGTTACATTGAACTTATGTTGTATGGTGTTTCGTTTTTGCAGATTGACTCTTCTGCAGTGCACGTAGCCCGCTCATGCGTCTGTGTTATAGTAGAGCAAACACTCAAAGTCGACCATGACGACAACCTAATCCAGGTCAGGCATCTCGTCCATGTTGGGAATGCCATCATCATCGGAAGGTGCACCACCCATTCCTCCCATTCCGGGCATGCCGCCCATACCGCCCATTCCAGGCATGCCGCCCCCGCCCATCATTTTTTTCATCATGAGGTTCAAAGCTGGACCAACGTCTGGATCCGCCATTAGTTCTTGGAGCTTCGCAGGATTGCTCAGAAGCCCCATTGGACCTCCTGGACCGTTCATTATTTCCGAGAAGGCGGCCACAACCTTTGGGTTTTGCATCGCTTCTTTGATCTCGGGATCATTCATCATACCCTGCATCATATCTGGATTAGGCATACCGGGCATACCACCCATGCCTCCCATGCCGGGCATACCTCCCATACCGGGCATGCCTCCTGGCATGCCACCCATACCAGCACTGCTAGCGGCGGCTTCCTCTGCTTCGCGCTTGGCTTCTTCTCGCGCTTTTTTGATATCCTCTGCCTTCTTTCGCATTGCCTCTTCTTTTTGAATTCTTTCGTGRGCTTCTTCCTTTTCTTTTTCGATTCTCTTCTTGGTTAGTTCCTTCAGCATATCAGCAACGTCTGGATCGAAATCAATGGATTGTGCCTGGCTCAAGTCCCTGAATAGTTTTSGGGGGAGGATAACGATACGAACATYGTTGAAACAAACATTTGTGAACATACTTCGACTTAGAWAGCTGCCATAAGTTCCTATGCTTCGTAGGAYTGCATCGTATTKGCTCTGCTAGRTAGGCACCCAAAAGAAAAATTGCATCGCGGTCCCACTCAGGAAACGTACCTCAGAGCACCTTCCCAATCATCGAGGTGCATGAATCGCAGCTTCCCTCTAGTTTTCAGTGCTTTTGCAGAATCTGGGTTCTGTTCCAACGCCAATTTACAGTCAAGCTCGGCYGCTTTGTAGTGCCCGAGTTTTTCCAGTGCAATCGCACGGTTTGCGTACAGCAACGCCGACGGGGGGGCGGCCAGAACAGCTTCGTTGTAGGATTGCAATGCTTCTTCGTAGTTGCCGTTGTTCTTYGCATCGGCAGCTTTTGCCTTGAAATCGGCTTGCTTGTCGTAGTCTTCACCAGATACGTATTGTGGAACAGTAAATCCATCGTCTTCTACTCCTCCCGCAGTACCTCCGTCGGCTTCGTTGTCATCGTCGTCGGCATCCATCGCTGTTCCAGCGCTGCCGCCGAGTTTCTCAATTTCGGCGTGCAAAGATTCAATGTACTCCTTTAAGCGTTCTATAGTTGGTTGTCGTTGTTTTGGTCGTTGTTGTCGAGTRGATGTAGCATTCGTTTTTCGAAACATCCGGCCGCCATCGGCAACGTGGATTGAATAGTATGTTTGGCAGCACGCGATTGAGAAGGGTTCGCAGCAGGCACGCGACGCGGCATGACATCGCACGGCACGGCAGCGATGCGACATAAGGAAGCCAAGGAATGGTCAAAGGATGCGAATTAGAACTCAAGGCTCAGGACAAGAAACCGAAGCCAAAACAAAATATCCTTGCAATCGCGATTTGAACGAGCCACTAAACGAACAGTCCCAATCTGTCACTTATTGATTCACTTACGACTTTCGGTTTCGCCCAGGGAGGACAAAATTGCTTCAATATCTTTCGGCATCGCCATGGTGAATTCGATATGTTTGTTTTTTTGCTTGATATTTGTGCAAGGTGTTTTTTTTTAAATTTCAGGCAGCAAGAGGTGTGGTCATTTCCAGTTCGGAAATTTAACTACATCGTACAGTAGTTTTGGTTTGGTCGTATTGATGCTTTGACATGCGAAGCCGATATTCGGTTTTCTTCTGGTGGATCTGAAACCTCCAAAAATCTTTCTCGAAGAAACTCCACCATCATTCAGTCGTGCGTGCGTGACTCGTTGTTTGTCATACACTGAATGTAGAGCTATTTTAGTACCGATTCTTATGTTGTGGGTACCCTTACAACGATACAACGATACGTGGAAGAAGATACCTTTTCCGGAGTAGTTCAATGGCGCCGATTCCATCTCAAAAATTGCATCTGTTCGACRAAGAGAAATTTGAGAAATCATGTGTACTCGTACCGTGCTCCTTGAAAATGATTTTACAATTGTACCGAAAGCAATACAACCACTTTATAACAGCGAAAACGATTATAACAGCGAAAATGAGTCGATTAGTATTCGGAACCATCGCTCTTGCAATCATCGATCCACTGGCTTGTTCGGGTTTCTCTACCGGARGAATTCGACCCAGAACGTCAGCGGACAAAGCTATAATATCACATTCGCACAGTCCTCGCAGCGCGTCACGACAGCTTTTGCAAAGTAGGATACCGCAACMATCGCAATCGCGGCTGGGCGCAACCCTTAACAGCGAACAAGGCAACGATAAACTGCTGCCGTCTTCCGTCTATCGSACAATAGAAGAGGGGAAAATCGCTGTCGTSCCAAATTTTCTGAACGAAGCCGATATATTGCCGCTTCGACAAGATGCCCAGCAACTGTGGCTCGACAACAGATTTTCTACGGACGCGCTTGCGGGATACGGCTCAAAAGGGAGTTTCGATCCAACCAAGGATCGGGCGGTTCTAAAACTGACCCAATGGAAACGACCCGACTAYGGAAATTTTGAATTGCGTTCGAAGAAGTTTGGTAATCTGATGGCTTCCGTCCGACAAGAACTGGCCTCGAATTTGAACCGCCCGGGACTGGCAGCCGCCGACAGCGCCGCCGTCAATAAATACGGCATCGGATCAACCGAGATTTCCTACACTCGGTTCGGTCCCGGGGCCTTTCTCAAACGACACGTCGATGAACACCACGAAGAATTGAAGGGACGGGATGGTTGGGCGCAACCCACGCGGCGGTCGATATCCTGGCTGATRTATTTGAACGAGCCAGACTGGAATTCCTCGAGAGACGGAGGACAGCTCCGTTGCTTCGAACGCACGCGTCGACCCCTGGGACGGATCGGTGCGACGACGGGGGGCGATCTCCAGATCGGATGGCTCTCAGCTTCTATGCAGGGCGAAATACCGGTGTATCTGGATGCAAAAAATCACGACCATGGCGATTGTTCCATGTATTTCCTGGAACGCGACGGTAGACGCGCTTACATCACAAAACCTTTCAAAACCAATCCGATTCTGTACGTTGCGGGATCAGAACAGTTGGTCAAGAAAGTATTGATCCAATCGCCCGATATCGCTTYGCGCTTCCGATTGATCGAACCCCCCAAGTCGAAATTGAACGACRTTCTCCGAGGAGAYGATGCCTATCTAGGGCAAGGGGAGCCCTCTCGGAACATCATTGAAGAAGAATTGGAAGACGTCGATCCCCACGGCGGAACGCTCGTTATGTTTGATTCTGTGAGTTTGCCTCACGAAGTCTTGGCAACCCGCAATGGAAGGGAGCGGTGGGCATGCAGTGGTTGGTACCACGAAGACCAACAAGAAATAGCCCTTTCCTAAAACGACATAAGACAATCYTAGCTTCGAAGAARTATAGGCTGCGCATCGCACCCCAGAGTAAAAAATAATACCACTCTGTTTCTACACACTCCGTGGTGATCCTTTCGTCGTTCTTCCTCCTCGTTGCARGTTGCGCGCATCAAATAATATGAAAATGTGACGAAGTATTGCTGTCACCATATCTATGATACTTTCATGTCTTGTACGTATGTAATAGTGCAGTATCGAGATGGTCACCTGCTCTACTACCTGATGCTTTCTCATAATATATCTCGTTTCATGAGTCAAGGCGTACTACTCGTGCCAATGTACGAATAAGCTAAATTCTGTTTTGATCATACCTTTCTGCACCATGAAAAGTATGTATMTATCTACCATTACTTGTGTACTCGTCACTCGTATTGTTCCGACCTTCGACTTCGTTTCATCAGATTTCATCAGATACGATACCTGGTACCTGGTACCTGGTACTGTAATGTATGCACGGTACATACGACTAGTGTGTTGTACGTACCAGGTACCGTACGGCTACAAACCAAGTACCAACATCATTTTTTTCGAATGTTTTCCCACGTTCGTTTTCTTTCTCACGATAAAAGTCATCTTCTAAGACGGAATGCAATTCGCACATTCGAATCTATCGAAAGTAGTCTGCATAACTAGGAAAACAAGTGATCATGCCGTCTGCATCCAATCGAGGAAAGTTGTTGCTTCTGGGAGATTCTCTAACCCAGCAGTCCTTCGAAGGCTGGGCTAGTGACTTGGCAAATGTGTACCAAAGAAGAGCCGATGTACTAAACAGAGGAATGAGCGGATACAACACCCGATGGTACCTCCGGTACGCAGAAGATAATGGTATTTGGACCGAGCCAGGCAACGTTGTTTTGGTGACCATCTTCTTCGGGGCAAATGACGCTGCCATTCTCGAACATGATCCAGCGAAACACGTCCCGATTCCCGAATACCAAACAAATCTAGAAACCATCGTCGACAAGGCAAAAGAAGCGTACSCTGGCGCCAAAATCTTGCTAATTGCACCTCCTCCAGTCCATCGAGAACAAAGGTTGGCGTATCAAAAAAAGCGATACGGAAACAAAGCTACCGGAATTCCCGAGCGAACCTCCGAACACACTGCGAAATACGCAGCGGCGTGTCGACAAGTTGCAGAAACGAAACAAGTTCCGTGTTTGGATCTCTTTAGCTTGATGAGAAACGACAAAGAGAATGAAGACGCGGACGACATTGGCAGATTTTTTTGGGATGGACTGCATTTCAACAAAACCGGACAGAAATACGTTTACGATGCCCTAGCGAATGCCATTCACACCCACTTTCCTAGTTTAGAGGTACGCCCTTGTCCAATCACCGGACAATTCAATAATTCGGGTTCGGCTTGCGACGATGTCGTAAACAGTGGACCCTACCACGAGAAACTCGGTGGGAAGGATTGGAGCAAGGCATTCGATTGAAATATCCGCCGATGATTTTGATTATCTTCGGAGTTCTGGATTCGGTTGAATAGTCTTAGTGACAGTATTAAGCGCTAATAATTCATTTCCTTGGATAAAACATGGCAACTAAAAGTCTTTGTAGTCTSTGTCGAGAAGAAATATGATATAGTCRCTTGCTTTTTATCGGATTGAATGAACATCATCAATATTTTTGGATCCATGACAACTATGCTTTTGAAATCAATCGCTCAAGTTCACCCCGACTCAGATCAAATGTTCTATTTCCGTCAAACCGGCAGAGGCAACATGGTGTGATGATTTGTCCTTTTCGCTTACGATCAAAAAGTCTGCAGCAACAGATTTCGATTTGGTTTCGTGCGATTGAAGAATTGCAGATCTGATGCAAAGGCTGGATTCCTAGGGCGATACCTTCGAGGTGCCGATTCTGGATGGTGCCACCAACTTTCATCTTTCTTTCGTGCACTCGATTTTTTCTCTCCCGTTGTTTGATTTGATCCACCATGCGGTTTCAAAGTCAATGTTTCGTTTTCCGAAAACACAATCGCTATCCAGGGTCACTCTGAATCCCGATATCGACTCTGAAGCGCCGGGCAGSCTCAGACTCGTCTGTCTCRTTTCAAAGCATCTGCTATCTCCGTTGCGAGATATATTTTTTCGCTCGGTTTCTTTCCGACGTCTATTTCTTCGAAGCCGAGGCGTTCGTAAAACAGGAGCGCGTCGCGGTTGTCGCRCTCGACCGACAAGAAGAGAAAGGGGGGGAACAGTGCGGTTTTCGACCCCGGTGGCGGCGTGCACCACTTGGTGGCGATCCTGGTGGCGAGCCCCACCAACGTGGAACCAACCTTCCGGCGCCGGACGTCGTCTGCGACAGCGACGTTCCCGATGTAGGGCATTTCCACCTTCCCACCAAACGGAGACGGAAGGGTTCCGATTTCTATGAATCCGATCAGCCGATCGTTGCCGGCCGATGCWCCCGGACCCGACGAATYTGGGATGGTTGCCACCAGACAGGAATGGGGAAGTGAACCCTCCTTCCTGGCATCTGCCATTCGCCTCACAAGCTGTSTTTCGATAAATTCACGCTGTTGCTCGGGAGACTGCTGATCATTGGTGTTTTCGGTCGTCAGACTATCCCACATGAATGTTTTGTTGCTGTCGTCGCCGGGTTTGTCAATCTCGCTGCTGATTCCATTGTTTGTTGGGTCGTCGTCGTCGTCGTCGTCGTCAAAAACAGMAGTCAAGAGTCTAGCAATAGCTGGTACGTCCGTTGGTTTTGCGCTTCGATACGAAATCTTCGGTTTCGTGGTTTGTTCGTCATTTCCATAGGATGACATCGATATCGAAGATGATCCCGAWGCCGAGGATCCCATCAACGTCGTCACATGTGTTGCTGTGTGTTTCGGAGAGAATCCTTCGCAGAATATCGAAACAGAAGCCGGGGAAAGGAGTACAAGCATCAACAGCAACGCCGACAGGGAGAAAATCAAGCCTCTCCCGATGTTCTCCATCTTTCTTTTTGTAGCGGATAAGACAAGAATGCCGTTCCGTGCTGTTGKATAGCAAAGACCGTATGCAGTAACTTTCCCACCAACTGTTTTTCKAAGCTAGTACAAAAAAATGATCTTTCGATGGTCGATTTTCAGCTYTAAGTACGAGTACTCGTTCTCGTATGAACTGCACTGCGCTTACGTACGYGTACAATCAAAGTCTGGATTTTACACCACGCACTACGAGCACGAGCACCATGGTTTATTTTTCACTGAAAGTGAATGAAAGTGATGAAACTTACAGCTACAGTTCATTACTATTTTTTTAATAATTTAATTTAACAGTGAATAAGCAATCGCCTTCTGATCAACGATCGCCGGTGCCTGACACTGACATGAATCTACTGTATTTTTTCATAACTTCTGCTGTTTTCCACCTTGACAATAAAGACATACAAGTAGGTACTGAGTTTGGAAATAGTAGTGCTCTTTGCTGGCAGCAATAGGAACAAGAAGAACAACAACAAGAGAAGGCAGGAGGTCATGCTGGAGATGTGGACCCAACCAACACGAGTTCTGGTGCTCTTATCGTTGTGAGAAAGGGCCCATTTTACGGATTTGATGTCTTGTGGTGGTTGCAGCGCAGAAGCCACTCATTGTGGAGATGTGGTGGCTAGRTCAGGACCAATACGTGCATCATAGTAGAATCCAAACATACTTCTTGGTCCATTTCGAAGCACCTCAAGAAAAAGAAGGTGAAGCCTGGTGAAATCATCATCATTTCCACAGCAGTCATGCCATCAGATTCGATCAAATTGGTCAAATCAAAGTACTATTTGTGTTGAATGAAATGCTATCTCAGGTACCTCACCAGTAGAATGAGTACTAGTTATTGCAGTCATGGTTACCAGAAGTAGTAGTTGTTACTAGCCAGATTAATATTACTACTTACTAAGTTTTAGATAGTAGTATCGACACAGTTTCTTCAAGCGTTTGCAGCAACATGGTCATCTTGCTTAACCTGTGGATAGGGAAATTGTTGGACTSACCGATTCGGACGCAACGCGCAGTGGCYATTTCCGTTGGATACGAGACCCAGTCACCGGTGTGTGCAACCAAGAGACGGACCAAKATGTGGAACACAATGGCTGGTTGCTAGTATCAGTTGGTCAGTCCGTCGATGGACAAAAACTTCCYGGTGCTCGCGTCGCGCTGCATGGGGTACACACCGGCGACGATCCCCGGGATCGAGACGGGGATCCCGCCGTAGATGTGCGGAAAGAGGGCGGCTTCTTCTCCGTTCTCGTCGGTCTCCTTTTTCCATTCTTCTTTGACGTCGGTCGAACCCACCGGCTTGGGTTCCTCAAAGACCGTGGCGATCCCGCACTTCCGCCGGAGCGTCCGGGCGCTGCAGAGCTTTAGGCAGATCCAGCTGTCGGTCGAGGACGTGTAGAAGTGGTTYGCGGTCTCCAGGAGCTTTGCCGGGACGCTCGTGGCGTGGGTAAAGCCCCCGTCCTGCGCAAAGGTGGGGGGAAAGTACGCCTCGCCGGAGGCCACCGAGGCCTTCCAGAGGGATTCCTCGCACATGTGGTACAGCGCGAGGTCCTCGTTGTCGCTGCGGCTGCCGCTGCCGCTGCCCTCGTCCGCACCGGCGGCCGAGGGTTCGTCTTCGGCCGCCCGTTCGTGCAGCTTCGAAAGGTGGTCGACGATTCGCTTCTCCTCGGCCTCGTCGTGGCCACCGCTCCCGTCCTCCCGGATGCACCGCTCGGGTTTGAAGGCAGGTATGCAAACGGGGACGTACTCGGTGTCGGCCACGGGAAAGACGGGCCGGAAGCGCTGCCCCTTTTCGACAAAGATCGTTTCTCCCGGACCGGCCGAGACGGCCCGGACCTCCYGCTGGGTCTCCTCGTCGAAGACGTGGCAGTCCACCCGGCCCTTGAGGACGGCGATCCACTCGTCGTAGTGCAGCGTCAAAAAGGGCTCGCTGTAGGGCTTTGCCACCTTGACGACGGCGAGAGACATGCGGTCGTCCTTGCTGCCGACATTTCCGGCGTATTCGTCGATGCTGAAGCCGTCCGTTTCGACGACCCGCGTGGATTTTCCAACGATTCGGGGCATTTTGGGGTTCGTTGCGAAAGGGTGTTTGCTTTGGTTTGTCGTTGCGATTATGGTTGTCTTTGCGTTTGCGTTTGCGTCTGTACTCGTGTGAACAAGCCCAGAATTGTTGCGGCTGGATTGGAACCGGTTGAAAGAGAGTTGATGGCTAAGAGGTGTGGCTGCTTTKCGTAGAAGCGGAAATAATCGTTGGTGCCCTTTGCGAGGACGATGACACAGACGGCGGAGACAGAACATTGCGTTGGTBCAAACGGATCATGCTCGCATCGTGCGAGCGGTGCTCCGTACTGGATTGTAGGGTAATCGTACTCTGAACCGAAGAGGCACGGCCTTGTCCCAAGAATCGATCTCAGAAGATACTGTGTGATGTACTAGTACTGGTACGTACTAGTGGATACATACCGTACGGTTAGGGAATGAGATGGTGATGATGATGAATGATGAATACAGTACGGTAGTGAAAAGTGAATAGCTGCTCTGCTTTTCGTTCATTCTCCTAGTACGTACGTATCACACTAGTAGTGGTAGTACAKATCACGGTTAATGCCAATGCTGACACAGTTCTGTGACTAGACCGTTCACAGAACATACGCACGAACAATCGTACGGTTCATACTCGTACTAGAACGGGGTGTCGGATTGGACTGCACGGGCGGAGGGGATATCAATTACTGTATCTATCAATACATCTGTATCGAAGAGGTCGGCTTACTAAACTACAGATGCCTTTGCCTTYGTCGTCCCAGGGGCCTCAAAGGAGTTGTTTTGAGTTGTTTTGGAAACATTGGAAAGRTGGGCGAGCACAAAGCATTCTTGAAATCATTTTTGAGATGCAGAGATCTCCTCAAAGAAGGTCAATCATGGCACTCTGGTGAATCTCGGCACGAGTGCTACTGTCAGATTCAACCCTTGTTGCTGGTGGTGAAAAGAAGAAGGTGATGTCAATGGTAGTACTACTAAAGACAAGAATCRCAAAGGCCAAAAGCCCAACCAAAATATTGATTGTGCCACCACCATTGGTGTTTTCCTTGTCAGACAGATTGGACATTGCACGGAAAGCTACTAGTATGATGACCCAGTGGCCATTGTGATGGTAGAGAAAAGTCAAAAAAGTGCAGCAGATGCATGTAGATTGCTGCTGGCCTGTCAGTGTTTCTTGCCAGGACTTGTTAGGTGCTGGTGGCACTCTTTCTTGAACATGCAGGTGCCCACCTGAAGTCTTCTTGTCATACTACTACTAGTATCCTTCACAAAATTGTGGTGCTTCCTTTGGCCCCTTGGCTTCTTGGCTTGTTTGCCTTTTGCACATGGACTCTCCTCCTTGGCTACTAGAGGACTCTCAATTTTGAGTGTCACCATAGTTCTTACATGCAGAATTGATTTGATAGTAGTAGCTTCTTCGAGTTGTTTCTCGACATGTTTGGTTTTTGTGAACTTTTAATCAGTGGCTTGTTTGTTAATTCTGTGGGCTACTATCATATGTTTGCAATACATTGCTGTAGTCCTCGCCATACTTGCTGTTGTGTAGTAACTACATATATACTAATCTTTCTTGCTGTATAGTACCATACAGAAAGATGAGCAGCAAAGAAGGGATTAGTAGTATGTACAAAACACATTGGAAAAAAATATTGGGTGGGTTTTGGGGTAGATTTTTCCAGAAATGACRAGGCTTCTTTATTTCTGGTTTGGTGAATTTTCACAAATGAGTGCTGATGCAACAGCAACAATTTTGTTGCTTATTTTCTTGGGAATCAACAGCAGCTTTACTGCTGGTGTTGCTCCTACAATGAGGAGGAGTAATAGTAGTATTGCAACTATGAGTAGTAGCATCCAGCACCATAGTGCTGAGTAACACACCAGTACTGCTGAAGTACAATGTGGTTTTTGAAGATGTACTAGTAATACTACTACTAAGTCCATTGTGTTGGAAGAACATTCCATCATCGGTACTACTAGTGTACTACAATACTAATACTAGTACTAGTACTACTACTGCTGCTTCTGCTAAGGGCTTCTGAATTCTGAGCTCACCAGTACTGCTACTAGCTAGCTCATCCTAGTAGCTTGCACTACTAGTAGTATAGTACTACTAATTCTACAAGAACAATGATGTCAGTCTTGTTTATTTCTCTTCTCTTAAAGCAGTACTTTAGTTGGAAAGGAGGGAAGCAATTTTCTTGACTTCTTATCAGCAATCTACTGGTAAAATGATCGAAAGATTATATATGTCTTAGCGAGGCAGTCACATAGTAGTTGAATCCGGGAGAAACTGGTAATAATGATGTGCAAAGTTGCAGAATAAGAAATGACGCTAGAATGATTATGAAAGTTTTTCCTACCGTAGCTATTGAATATTGAGTCGAATGTCTTGTATGAAAATAAGACGTTTCGGGCATCGATAGCCATGAAAGTTGTCTAGACAGCACGATTAGAACTGACTTTTTTGCCAGTACTAGGAGAGCCACAGATTCCACATGAATTYACTTTCGATTGTTGTTGTCTTCCATCACACCTATTTTGATTCCGTCGTAGGAAGTGGTGGTAGCTTGGATTTCGACTCGATCATTTCCTTCATTGACAAATGAACCAAATTGTATTCGAACAGAAAACGATTCCAGTGAAAGAGCACAGCGAACATAAAAGAGTGACAAAATGAGGTCATCGACATAAATTGTGGCTGGGTGGCCGCACGAATCGACACAAGAAAGGAGAACAGGATGGACGACGCAGCGAAATGACTGCTAGAGAACGCAAAGCCAATTATTAAGTTGTTTTGACGATACTCACATTTGCTGTCTTTTCCCGGCTTTGGCAATACGTCTGTAAAAGAAGACACAAAAGCGACGAAAAAAAGACGTAGCGAAAGCAGTGAGATGCATGCTACTTGTCACCTTCTCGAAATTGTTTATGTAGTGCTGCTCACGGAAACCGATATTGTTCCTCGACACAAAGTGGATCGGAGACCCCTTTCGTCATCGATTGGTTCAACTCGACAAGCCAAGGAAGACAAATTTCAAGATGATTCGAACCATGCAATGATACCACCGAKTCTTTGACTAGTGGGGGAAAGACAGTCATTCTATCCGTCGTAACTCGGCCTTTTTTGAYGTATTCGAACCGAATAGAATTTGTKGYTCCGGTGCTCCTGTTACCAGTTCCTAATMGTACGTACATCTGCGGAYCGCACAGTCTTGCACTTCTGGAGTTGYGCCTTAAGTTGATTGGGAACGGGCAATGGAGCTGTTTCTGCCATGATTTATTTCTTATGTTGTAGTCTTATTGCTGTCGTCGACACAGTTACTTGGATCTCACAAGAGAGTTTGTGTTTTGAATAACACCKCACGGTAGGGTCGGAAACCTAGGAGTCCTCGCGTGCTCACTAGTAGTCGTGCGAGTACGTACGGTACCGCATTTATTGTTTGGAACGAGAAGACAACGACGACGAGTCGACAGAGCTCGAGGAAAAAATTGTGGGTGTGTGGTGGGTGAAAAGTAAGAAGGGCTTCCTTATATGCTTAATATCTATTATACATATTAGTCATTCATTTCCCGGGAAGCCAGACCCCAGAATCCCACATGGTTTTTAAAAAATCTTTCGTCGCCGTCTTTTTCCTTTTTCATCATATCCTTTCACGCTACCAGAACAGGTACTACTAGTAACTACAGTACTACCGTTATGCTATTTCCGTACGTACGAGTACGTATCATGAAAATCATGGCCCATCATCATCTAGAGTCTAGAGGTACATCGTGGTGACATCTATGATTCCCATGTTACCGAAATGAGATCGATATGAATCAAACCTTCAGTACCTTGCTATGATAGTCCGATGAAGTTGCCAATCACTTTTCTTGCAATATTAATTTGCTTCCCGAGCTCGCTTCCCCTCAGCACTATTCCGTCTCCGCCGTCACCACAGGCTACACAATGCCGCGGAATCTCCAAGCGGAATGATCCATCGTTGTCGTCTGGCTCCTCCCCYTCTTTTCGTATCGCTGTAATCGGTGGTGGGGCCAGCGCCATGTTTGCTGCRACAACCGCAGCTAGCCGAATACGGGAATCGTCCGCAGGGGTTGTTACCGTTTACGAGGCAGGTGAAGAAGTTTTGCGAAGTGTACGAATCAGTGCTGGAGGTCGCGAAAACATTCTGTTTGATCCTAGCGCGCTCAAGCTACGGGAGCTGCTCAATGCCGGATACCCACGTGGAAAGAATGAGATACTATCAATGCTWAGCAAAGAATTCCCGCCCACAAAGCAACAGAAATGGTTCGAAGACCGCGGTGTCACGTTCTCGGTGGAGAAAGACGGAAGGATGWTGACAATTCCMGACAGCGGTAACGATGACGACATGCTGCCTTCTTCAACAGTCTGTGACGCTATTCTCGATGAAGCGACAAAAGCCGGCGTGCAGATTTGCACAAGGGTCAAGATCATCGCAATATCTAAGGAGAAGGATTCTTTTGTGATWTCAAAAATGGATATTGAGGGAGGAAATTTTGAGGAAGAGTGGTGTGACTGTGTAATTCTTGCAACTGGCAACTCACATTCTGGCCTCTCTCTCGCYAAATCATTCAATCATACGATTCAAGGACCGTTTCGTTCTTGTTTTGGGTTTAGATCTTCGAATAGAGACAAGAATTCTTCTGAGAAGGCACGATCAGACTACAAAGTACCCATTTCCAGTGTATCAGATGGCATACATAAAATTCACAGAGCTCGTCTTACACTAAAAATCAAGGTCCCCGGGCAGAAGCGGCCGCGAATCTTTAAAAAGGAGGGACCAGTGGAAGTGCTCATCTGTGGTAATAGTGTCAAGCTTACAGGAATGGCAGCATTCAATCTTGCATCCATCGCAGCACCTGAATTAAAGCGTGAGAACTACAGTGGAACCATTTTGATACATTTTTGTCCCGATATTGGAAAGGTAGAACGCGTGGAAGAAATATTGTGGGACCGCCGCCAGGATCAACGATATGCAAGCCAAAGGTTGGGAGAGCAATGCCCCCTCGTTCACGAAGAGATTGACTATGACAACTATGACTTTGAAACGGATACGTTTCCTAGAGTGAATACAGAATGTGTTCCTCAAGATATCTGGGAAAATTTATGCCAAAATTCTGGAGCGACGTCGAACTATAAATGGTCTCAGATGTCACCCAAAAAGATTCGAGCCCTTGCTGATTTGACTGTGGGGTACGAATTCAAGTTCGAAGGAAAGCATACTTCTCGAGACGAATTCGTAAATGGCGGGGGGGTAAGTTTGAATGAAATTGATATGCCATCTATGAAGAGCAAAATCATTGACGGCTTGATCCTCTGTGGGCAGATTTTGGATGGAGATGGTGCTCATGGAGGCTTCACATTCATGCGTGATTTCGGTTCGGGGTTKATTGCTGGAAAAACTGCTGCTAACTACGCTGTTCAAAACCAGAGTGGTTTATGAAGTGTCTACTACTAGTAGAAGTAGTTCRAAAGGCGGGGATTCAGAAACGAAAACTGACCTCGTCATMAAACTTAGCGCTTGTCGTGCTTCACTTGTCGGTCGCACKCATCATTGGGTTCATAACCTGTGAAATGTTGGATCGCTCCTTACTGTACGATAAACGGGTGTTTACAATAAAGAGTGAGGTTATTCACTAGCTACTCGTGATTGTTGTTGTTCCACGTATTCATCCTCACAGTACGAAGTACTTTCATAAGGTAGACTACGTACGTACCGGACTGGCCGGTATGGTAGTTSGTGCTGTTGGAATGGAGAAAATGGAAAATAAAACGGTACGTACGTATGTACCGTACCTAGTGTGGAGATGAAAGAGGAGGAAGAAGAATGCGCGAACCAGATCGTTTTAATTTTTGTCCTATTTCACCGTTGAGATCACCGGTGAATGATCGGAAGTTCAATTTACTAAAGCCCAATTTAGAAAATGATWRGCGGAATCGTGTTATACCTTCACCACGATTCAGATTCTGAATAAAAACAGCCCATCGCGACAGAATTCTTCTACGTAAGGCAWGTTTACGGAAATCATGGTAGGAGTAYGTACGAGGGTGTACGCCGACGATTTTTTTCTTTCGTGTCAGCAAATCCTTTTAAGAAGTACGGTAGTACAGTGTGTAAAATTAGTGCCTACTACGAAGTGGAGTATTTTTACTCAGTGGATCTCAATCGTAAGTACGAATGAAAAATGACTCTARWAWTTGTMAAGTTAGCTGAWATAGTCACCGACCGACRACGGTTGCGTGGGCTGAAATGTAAAATACAGTACCGGTACTACGCATGTGATCGTAGAAGAATGGAAAGAGCGAGGGACCTTTACGAAAAATACATACAGTTTCCCTGTACGGTAAGCTCGTACTCGTCGGCTTCGTTCCGCACTACGGTACTAACTCGTACCTCGGTCGGACAGTTGCATTCCGTACACCAATAATCAATTACGAATGTCAGGAAGAAGTACAWGTCTTACTTCCAGTTACGCAAAGCCTACTTTCACGGCTGTACGATATGGTACTCGTACTACTGCTGATGAACGCCCATTATTTCGATTCCCTTCACAACACCGAGTCTTTTCGCACTAATTTTGTGATTTTGCTCTATTCCATGTTGTTTCTCTCGTTCGTGGAAGATTTTGTTACAAGCCCAACTTCCCGGAAAGTAATTTCAAACGTTTCTTTTCTTGCTGGAAAATATCCTTTGTTATTTTTGTTCCCAACAGGTCTGAGAATTCAGCTCTTCGTATCCGATAGCTCAAATAAAGTGCTCAGTTATGTCGAGCCAAAAATGTGATGCTCCCTTCACTACGCGTAGTAGTCTCGAAAGTGACGAAACTATCGCACTGGTAGCTCTCCAAGCTCTCCAAAAACAATCTGGGATGATGTTGGACGAGAACGAAATGTCCAAGTCAATCCCTACTTCAGAATTAGTGCCTCTTCCAAGTATGGATTCGGCAGCTCGTGTTGTTTCCACGCAAACCAATGATTCTGCTGATGAATCAAAGTCACTCCCTCCCCTTCCATCTCAAGCAGAGGAGAAAGAATCAACGATGCCGGCCTCAAAATCTCCAAGCGCCGTCACTGTCCTTAAGTCGCTAGATGCTGATCCAAGTGCAGACAAACCTCCTTTGTCGACCTCGGTCCAATCTTTGCCAGCATCCAGCATAACTCCCGATAACGATATTGATTCAAAGAAAGGAAATGAAGACCCCCTCAAGCCAGCTGATTTYTCGGCAATTCTTTCCGATCCAGAAGGATGGTTGCAACAAACAGAAAACTCTTTTGCCAATCTACCTCCCATCGATCACAGTCCAATAGGGCACAGTAATGTCGTTGTGAAACCAAATGATGTATTGTGTGGAAGGGGTGGAGAAACAAATCACCACCCTGGTAATGTCCAATATCGATCTCTTGTCAAGGCCTACCAAAAGCTCTATTTACTAGCAAAGCGTCGCGATAAACCAAAAATAGCTCAATGCATCGTTGTGAGTATACGGGGAGTGAACGGCCGTTTCCTCAAGCGGATGAAAAATCCGAAGAAAGTAGGAGGCTGTTATTGGGTTGATGTGGGAAATGTGAAGGCTAGAGAGAAAACGTCTCAAGCCCTGCGGGAAGGTGCGCCTGATCTACGAGAAACTGTGAATAATTCTACTCRTGCGACGACAAGTACTACCGATCATAGAAGAAATCATGGTATGTTGCCGACAGAACGGGAAGAAACAACTTCTGTTTCTCTAACGCCGATGGCATCAAGGCCGCCAAGGCAACTGGAGAAGTTGATGGGATGGAGYAATAGTATAAATGCAAATAAACCCGCGTCTCCTTTATCTCCGACCAATTCATCATCGGAGACTGACACGACTGCGGTTTGTGAAAAGGCTTTCGCTGCTGGAACCAAAAGGTTGATGCAGCATCCAGCATTTCATACTCTCGACCCAGTCCTACAGCAGCAAGCTGTGCTATATGAATTTGAGCTTGCCCAATCAGCARCTTCTGCTACGGCTGCGAAAGAAGCAGCTTCAAAAGCTTTATTGCCRCCCACAATACAAGGCACAACCTCGCCGATTTATCCACAGGAAATCCCTCCCCATGAACTTCCGTACTACGCGCACAATTATTTCCCACACCATTTTAATTATTATCCTGGCGAAGGCTTATTGGACAGTCACAAAGCCTCTGACATTGCTACAGGGAAAACACCGGCGACGATTACTTCAGGTGACATTCCTTACCCTCCTAAATGTCGTGCTAATGTCGAATTTTATTTGCATCTCCAATCCTTTTTCRACAAGGCCGCAGCGAGCTCCGGTGATCATTCAATGATTGCTAGAATGAATAACAAAGAAAACGGCACAGCTCATAYTTTGACCAATGATCACAAACGAAACATGAACAAGCGATCAGCTCCTTCTGCACCCTCTGTGATCACGTCGATGGATACAGCCCCTTCTGCGAAATGCTCATCACATTCGAGCAGTCCACCGACCGTCGTTTCTGATACAGGTAGCGAAAGATCGTCATCGTCGTCATTAGCATCATCATGTTCCTCGTCGTCGGCAAAGATCACGACTACAGTGGAAAATAAGAAGGAAATTATTYCATCTTCAGTTTCACGTCGGGGATCTCGAGTCAAACGATTGAAGTTACGYATGCAAAGTGATTGCAAGTCAGAATAAATGAACTCATCACAATCTGCGTTATTTTTCTTGGGAAGCTAGTCAGGGTAGCAAGAAGTACAAGAAACGTATTGCGAGAGGTCGACAAGCCGCTAAGTCAAGAGCACATGCAAAATTGGGAATTTAATATATTTTACATCTTTTYACGTGTTGTATATTTCATTGCACTAGCTAAAAATAAAAACGATCCGAATGGGTTCGACCTAAAAAGATTACTTTTCACTAGTATTATTATTACATTGTAACTTTCCTCACCTAACATTTCTTGTTTTGATAAAAAATCAACTCAATTGCTACTTTACGAACCTTATAAAAATAATGTCCTGGCATCCAACAATGCCYCAGGGGTGGGTCCAAATGCTGCTAAAGACTGCTAACTAATTGCATCATGGGAGCAGCCGATGCTGATACTGGAAAAATCCCATTGTGTTGTTATCATTCATTTTACTAACAGCAGGAAAAGGTACAAACTCCTGCTAGTAGTACTGTGCAATRAAYAATTAGCATATGATGGTGAAGTAATCACTAATATCTTTTTTAAGCTCAGAAATCAAGAACCCTTTCAAAACATTGATACCAGAAACGTTTGTTAGTACCCTGGCAACAGAATTTAGAACTGTAGTTTTGGATTGTAAATTTATGTTTTTGTTTTATAAAACTGATTCACATTCGTCATGTATGTATTACTACCTTGTCACACCCATTTCATGATAAGTTTGCCTACTAGTATTCTAACTCAAAGTACTAACAACTCTCCACTCCAAAYAAGAATCAACAATTCTGCACTACAAAGAAGAAACTGGTGATATAGTTGGCTAAACTCTGTTTTTACAACCTGCATGCATAGGCCAGCTTGCATTCAGGGGTATGATACTTATCTACTAATACAATATTGTCACAAAAAAATATTGCAACCTATCACATGACCTAGCATCCCTATTTTATAGATTAGTATGCGCCCCCTTTTTCCACACACTCCATGTATATGATTTATGTTCTTACATTGGTCACATTTCTGCCAACAACAATCATGAGAGGTTGGGAATAGGAATCAGGAAGATGTAACAGGTTGTGATTGGCTGTGACAATGTCACACCATCTTCAGGCACAAATCYAAGACTACTAGTACCAGATTGTGAAACATTCCATTTTTTCTTAATTTTCAACCATTTTGTTACCAGCAACTCCCAACTCCATCATTGACAGCCTCTGCAACAAAATTTGGCCAACATCAAATGGGACAACTACTAMTACACCAATCAGGAGTCATTGTCATGATTGATCATTCCAAAGTCAAACTGGTTATTTTTACATGAAAGAGAATCCCATTGCCGAAGTGCAAAGCTTGATAAATTATGRCATAAGTCAATACATAACCATCAAAACAGAAGTGGTGGGCAAAACCCCAAGATTAGCCAAAGAAACATATTTAGTGTTGTGAACTAGCAGAGATTCATCAAGCACCAGAAGGCAGCTTCTACTCCTTGTAGTTGCTGCAGGGAAGGATAGRGCTCCTGGAGGAGCATGAGTGGGTTAGGGCAGATGAACTAAGGTATGCTGGAATTGTTTAAAGTACTATTGCTGTCTCTTTTTGTTGGAKTATGTATTAAAGACCAACATATCTTGAGTGATGCTCTCTAGTGGTTGTTTGCAACAATGAGAAGTTGAAAAGGGGAAGAAGTACTGTGCAATTAGATTGGTACTATTGGTACTACTAGTGGAAATAGTAGCAACATCTTCAATGCCCCCTTTTTTTAATAAACTCTGATGTAGTATGAGAAGGAAGTTTGGTGGACATTGGATAGAAAAGCTTCAGGATCAGGGGGGGACAGAATGGCTTCAGTTGGACAAGTTTGGGGTGAAGAGAAAAATGTGTCTGACTCTCTATATTAACCATGATTGGTGTAAGAAGGCCTGTTTTTGGAGAACAGTGTGGCCATGATCAAAGAAGGGGGCTCATAKTACAACCATGGGGAATAGGAATCTGAGTTTTGATCTGGATCTAAGATYCAATGCTGGTAAATGTGGTTCATAAAAGATCATGGTGCCAACTGATGGTGGTCTGATAGTAGTGTTTTGCCATCTTCTGGATTAACACAGCATGCATRAAAGTATTCTGCATACTAGCTGGGCAAAGTTCCAGTGGGAATAGTTAGGAATCCAATAGTTACYATTACCTTCCTCAAAGATAAGTATGATTCCAATGCCAAGAAAGTYAACTGGCATGAGAAAGAGTGGAGAATATGCTGGATACTGTCATTCTGGTGGAAACATAGACAGCATGAGTCATGAATCTGATACTTCTGTTGTTTGAGAATTGTACCACAGTCAATTGACATGATGTCATTACAGAATTTTGTGACAAGGACATTCCTATCAAGGCAGCAGATAGCAATATAGAGAAACTTCCACAAAGCTATAATCTTGAGGATATTTCTTCTCCACTTAATGTTACCTGTGGCTGTCCAATATTACAAGTAACACTGATCATGTTACYAGAAATTTAGCATTCAGGAAAAGCATGGTCAATAGAATGTCAAAATCACTARAGTGACATGTTCCTCACCATCATACTTTCATCTCTGTTACCAGAAACACAATTCAGTATAGACAGATAATATAGTAATAAACTTCAAATTTCCACTTMAATTGCAACATATCAAGGCWTGCAAATATGTTGAAGAACAGTGCTTACACCACCCAAAGTACCAGTACCAGATTCAAGTGCAATTACACTTTACAACTCAGGCTCAGGTATCAGTGGTTCCTACACATATGATAGTAGACARAGCTAACCCCAAATATGACAACAAACAATCTACCAATAAGTGTTTTGTATCAAATCCTCCATAAAAGTTTTGGTATGTTGTCATCCAAGGAGAGACAAATAATATGGATGCTATCAAAAATACATCATGTACTGGAAGCTTGAAAAATATCAGACACTACTACTACTATGCAAAGTTGCATACTCCAAGAAGAGACAACACATGCCATAGCCTTCTCTGGCCCCTGCTATTAATAACAATTGAACCCTCCAAACCACTATGACACAGTTTTTCAACTATTCAACCAACCAGCCCACCCAGCTCAATGGTTATGCCTCCATCACATCTCCTTGGACGGAGGTTCTCCCAAGAAGTTGGTTCTGGCCAAYATAGTGCCTCTTCTAGTTCATGAGATCAAACATAAGTTTAGAGGTACTTTTTACTACTTTGCAAAGTTGAGTTTTCAAAATGATAGGAAACAGGGAAATGCAGAGCTAGGTTGTTGCTGCTTTTTCTTTGACACTTAAAAGAGATATACATTATATGTCTGATTGATTTTGTAAAAAGGAGAGACTCCAAGGGAAGATTGGAAATTGCTGTAATAAGTACTAGTAAATACAAGATCTCAAGGCAACCATGAGGAAAAATGAATAGCAGTTCATCTGTTTTCTATCAGGGACTGGTGGTGGTGGTACTAGAAAGAAATCCATAGTTCTAATTTTTCATGTTGGTAGACCTATCATGATTGACGACAACACATAGATTTTGAGAAATCAAAATCAAWTCATTGAGTCATTTGTTGTAGTACATTCAAGTCAATCAAACTGAAAAATGGGTATTTTGTTTGATGGATAGAGATGGGCCTTGAATAAGGAGACTCAAAAATACTGCAGCATCAGCTAAATTTTGATGTCCACAAGAACATGAGTTAAAAGTCGTTACCCATCAAACTCAAACAATTCACAAAGGAACACATTGACATCAATTCCAAATTGATATTGCCAACACAAGCAATTGGGTTAATGTTGTCCTTGTGCTTTCAGCACCACAAAAAAGGGTTAGAACTTTTACTATTGGTCTGTTTTGCAAGAGCTTGTCTTCTCCTTATAAAATACACCACCATCAACAACAGTACCCAACATACACAAGAAATCAAAAACATCACCATCAACAACAATACCCAAAATTCACAAGAAATCAATGAATTCCTCCATTCCTATTTCAGAAACAACAAACAGCCATAGTGCATTCATTGATTGGCTTCTAGTAGTACATTCTTTTCAGAGCAGTACTTTCCACCTTACTGACACCAACTTAGTTTTTGCACTGTAGAAACTATTTGTATTATGGAGCCAATCATCCATGGAAAATGTATCTGTGTTACTGCTACATATATCAGATCCCAACAAAACCTACTAGTACAAGTCACTTAGTACAAATGTTCTCCCTGTGTTGAATTGTGTTCACAAGCTGGAGGACACCCTCTGCCAATGTCTTGTTGGTCTGAAGAAGCATTTTTGGCCAATTGTAAACCAAAATGAATTCCATTTTTATGGATCTGATGTATTGTCAAGAAACAGTTTTTTCAAAAGTTGAATTGTATAGAGTTGGTGACCAAATGTATGTACCAGTTGTACATTTTGGGCCCTTATTTTGAGTGTAATGACTACTTTGACTAAAAACTGGCTTGTACTGCAGTTTACAGCCGGCATGTGCTGAATTTTTGAATCCCACCAGTCATGCAACTAAAATAGTTTTGTTCACAAGTGCGCTGTAGTGCTAGTAGAAGTCAAAATTTTCTAACTGTTTCATGTGCAATGGACCAACACTGAAGACAGAAGTACAACCACAATCAATAGTTTTGCAAGCAACAAACAATCAGCACAATACAGTTCCGAATCCAATGATGATGATGACAACAACTGGGACTACTGGGCCACAAAAGATGGTGTTGATACACAAATTCACCCACATTCATCTGAGGTGATGACAGTGGCATATGCGTCACACATGGATGACAATACCAATGATAGTGCACTGAAGAAGAGCAGATTGATGAATGGACTGGTCAAATTGTTGAAACAAAGACACCAGTATGTTTCGAAACACACATTCCAGTATTGTATGAGAAGCCTCCCCTAAGTGAACTCACTTGTGTGCAAAATGTGAATGAACTCGTAACCCCTGAACACAAAGGGCAATACAGAGAGTTGGTAAAAGCCCTGGATCTTGCGTACACTGACATACAAGCTCTACGATAAGGGGTGGTAACAGTGTTTGAGTACTACAGCCAAAAAGCCAAGCAMATGTTTACCCAGCTAGTAGCCAATAACAAGAAAGCTAGAGTAAATGAGAACTGGATACTACTGGACAGTGAATCATTGTGCAATTTGATAAACAATCCAAGACTGGTGAAGAACATTAGGTGCGCTCCAAATGGATGCACCATGATCATCTACTGTAATTGCAGCACAGCTCACACCAACCAAAGTGCTGACCTACCAGGTTATGGAGAGGTATTGTTCTACAAAGATGGAATAGCTAGTGTGTTATCCCTAGCCCTCATATCCGACAAATACAGGGTGACAATGGACACTGCAATCAACAACGCAATGTACATACACCGYGAAGATGGATCTACACAACATTTTGGAAGGTCCAACTGTGGTTTGTACTACTATGACACAAGCAACCAGGACRAGGGCAACATTTTGACAATCATGTCAGTGGAAGGTAACAAACAGCAACTCTCAGATCTTGATTGTAGAAGAGCTGATAAAGCTCAAAAGCTTCAGGAAACACTTGGATCCCCACAACAAAAGACATGCTTCACATGCTTGATAAGAAACTTTTGGCAAATTCCACAGTCACACGACAAGATGTTCAGAAGGCGGAGGCTACATATGGTAAGCACACCAGTTTAGTGAAAGGAAAGCAGACCTGGAGCTCAGCAGACCATATGCAAGAGGATGTAAGGTAAATTCTGGGATGCTACCCTCCATGTGGGATGTACGGTAAATTCTGGGATGTTACTACCCTCCATGTGGACATTATGAGCGTTAATAGAATRAGGTTCTTTCACCCAATATCACGCCACACAATATCACACCATTTAAGGTTCTGTACCACACAAGCAATTACCAACRCAGGGCGATCTCCACTGCTGGACTGTGTTAAGGCAATGGCAGGACAATACTGAACCAGGGGTTTCATCATAACACTGGTCTATGGCGACAACCAGTTTGAATGCCTCAGGGATGATTTACTTAAGCTTRAGCCACCAATACAGCTACACTGTTGTTGCGGCTTGGCAACATGATCCAACCACCATTGAGTGCAATATTTGCACAATGATAGAATACATTAGATGCTATTTCTACCATATCCCCTTTAAGAAGCTACCAAAGCATTGYGTGATGGAGCTTGTGTATGCAGTGGTGACATACTGGCTCAACTGCAGAACCRCAGGAGTATGCAAGACACTACTAGTACCAGCCAGGGAGGCAATGACAGGTACACCCCTTGATGCCAAGGAGTGCAGGTTTCAATTCATGGAGCCAATCCTCCTTTCACATGAGGACRACACCGATAATTCAATGCCSCCAAGAGCTGTAGACACACTGTATCTACAGCCTACAGGAAGCCTCACTGGTGGGTACTGRGCCTACAACATGAACACAGGAAAAGGAATTCACAGTAAGAGCAGTACAGCAACACCAATCAGTGATGCCATTATCCACCAAGTGGAGGCAACAGCCACTGCCCAAAAGCTTGATSGAGGAATGATGTTCAGTGACATTCAAGGCAAATCCACCATACTTGACCTAAGCACAGAACAGGAAAATAGAGATGACAACAATGCTCCTGATGCATCCTATACCCTGGTGACCAGTGCAAGCAACAAGGACAAATCAATTGTCTCAGTGGATGAGGAGGCTTTGGAAGTAAACCAGATAGACAAAAATTGGCAAGTTGATGTTTGATGTGCCAATACATGTTTCTGGTTTCATCCCAGCCAAGGACAAGAGGAAGGAAMAGAGGATCAACCAAGTAACTCATTACTCTCTTTAGTTTCTTCCAATCATTGATGTCTGGGTTTGAGATTCTAKTGCACAAGAAGGTGACTGCAGTTTGGATATCCAGCCTCATACACTTTGCCATGTAGAGTAGTTTTGCCACATAATGGTAGTATACTGGCATCCTTCTCACTCAAKTTTGTTGCATCATTGTTGACTTAAAAAAGTATGTAACAATATGGGCAGTCACACTGGGGGAATGACGATGACCCTAGAGACCCCCGCTGCAATCACAACACCATGCACCAAGCAAAAATTGAATACTAAAAGTTCAACAGAGACAGAAGTGGTGGGGGTAGATGACAACATGACCTTCATATTGTGGGCACATTGCTTCTTATTGGCACAAAAGCAACACATGACTGATAATGCCAGAGATGCAGAAGCCGATAGTACATCAAAGGAGAAGCTAATGAACAACAACATCCTGTATCAGGACAATGAGAGCGCMATCAAATTGGAAAAGAATAGTCGTACATCCAGTACAAAATGGACCAAGCACATTAACATCCAATACTTCATTGTCACCGACAGGGTAAAGAAGGGTGAGGTTACAATTGTTGAATACTGTCATACTAATCACAGACTATTTTACCAAACTGCTTCAGGGAGCAAAGTTTAAGAAGTTTAGTAGGAACACTATCCAAGGAGTTAGTGAAGCAGACTATTTGCATTACAAGCAGTCCTGCCAGGCAGGGCATTCACTACATAGTAAGCATGATCAAAGAGGCATCGCTGTACCTGCCATGGAATAAGAAAGAGGAGTACTCCTATCACCACCAGTAATAAGGAGTGTGGTGTTGACAGCAAACAGACTTTGGGTGAATGCACGTGAATCTGTTCAAAACATTATTTTTGTCCAAATCACAATTTATTGCCAAGGTGCACAAATTGTGGTCTATTTGTAAGAAAAGGATAATTCMTATGATCCCATGGAATGTTTACAGGACCCAGAGTATTCTCATTCTTCATTAATTTATCTAGTCATTCTAGTCATTTCAATTACTCTCATAGACTTCATTTAGGCTCACATTCATACCGTACGATAAATCGTATTGAATCAACAGTACGTACGGTACGTATTTCCGTACGTACCGTACGAGAGTTGGAAAACAGTTCGTACGTTCTGATGAAAAAAAAAACGCAACAAATTTCAATTCAAATGAACAAGAGTTCACGCCGGGAGCTATCTTGAGAGGTAGAGGTAGCATAGCCCACTATTGACCTTTTTCCATCACTATTAAATGAAGCTGTCCTGTCCTGTCCTGTACAACAAGAGGGTACGATTCTTGGACAATTCGATACAAAAGAGAGACTCGAATTTTGAATTCAATTAGTTGAGGTCATCATTTTTTGTTCTTCGAAAAGGAAAAGCAACCAAATGTCATCTACGGATCCGAGCAAGTACCAAAAAGACGACTGTAGTGACAATGCACCGCTAACGACAACAACCTCGCCGACAASCTCGAATTCAACATGGAAACTTGAAGAAAGTTCAGTATGGTGGATAAGCAATTTTATCGAAGCTGGTAATTCATCTGGATGGATAAACAACCCCGGGAATGTATTGCTGCTCACTTCCGTACCATTTTTCGCGGGAGCTTATTTTGGTTATCGAATGCCGACTGAACGACTGGAAGACCTTATACAAGGGGGAACAAGTGGTTATAACAGCAGCGGAAAARCAGCTAGCAAACTACAGACCAGTGACAAAGACGCAATCAGAGCTGCCGCTGCTCGAACAGCTTCGAAGGCATTGCGAATAGCGACATTGGGAACAGTGGGAACGTTTGGATTTGTTGGGGCAATTGGATTTTACTTGAGTGGTTATAATTCTGTTGACGAAGCTGTCAAAGGAACATCGAGCCAAGCATCTTCCTGGGGGAAGTCGCTAGAACATCTGATGGGAGGTGATCAGGGTGTGAGCAAAACCCATCCCGAAGTTTTAGCTACCAAACATATGAAAGCAGATGAGGAACTGAGATATATTTATGACAAGTACATAAAGGAAGACGATTACGAAGATARTGAAAGCACGTCATGGCATGACTCTAGTGATACAAACAAGGAGGAAGATAAAGCACCTACTTTGTATGCGGTATATGAAAAATACTTCATGAAGAAGGACGACAAATGAACAGAACAAGAGCACTTTACAAATATTATACAGATGACTTTTGATGAAGGAGGCAATAATTCTGAAAAAATAATACGTCCACAACGATTTAATAGKTTCATATCTAGAACGGCTACAGATTCACTATTAGACTTTTGTTTGAAAGAGGTCAAAAAATCGTTTAACACGATTTCCACGCTGCTGCTTTGTTAGCTTCATTTCCATACCCCGATGCACGTAAGAAATAGTCTTCCGAGGTAATCTTGCACTTGATCCTCTGCGGTACACAGTCGGGATAATATAGCGACTCCACAAAGGATACCTGGCTCGGTCTCGTCTACGGTAGACCTTTCTTACAAATACAAGAACCTATTCATTTTTTGTTTCTGATCGTTGATACAGCACCAATTTTGTTTTTTTCGGGAAAGTCTCAAAGGCGAGAAGCTGTAAAGCATTAATTCCAAAAAAGAAATATGCTGCGGCGTTTGTCCAAACAATCTAACTGAAATTTCTAGTTTTGMAGGTGGGAAGATTCTCTGGCGTGGTGCTATTGCGAAACAAATTCAGAAGGACGRGGYCTACCTTTGTCTATTCGGATTACCACTAGGGTGTCGTCTCGAATCCCATCCATCCTCTCTCGCTGAATGCGAATATGATGGACGACTTGAACGATCAATATTGCGCATGTTGCGCCGATCATCATGAAATGGCCCATGTGGGCCTCTTCCCGTTGGCCCGTACTGATCTCGAAAGTTATAATCCCTGCYATGATCACCTCCTTGCCCTGGATATGGTCGAGATCCCCTTCGAAAATCTCCATGTGGAGGCCTATCGCGGGAATCTCGTCGTGAGTGAGGTGGGGGTCCATCTCCCATTCGATGAGGAAAAGGAGGACCTCCATCACGGTGGTTGKGGATGCGAAAATCGTTGCGATCGTAATCGTAACCATTTTCACGGAGAGACGGTGGACATCCGCTGCCATCCCTCTCTCCGCCTAGAAAACGATCACGATTGGCTTCTCTAGAGGGATTGTCATCGTAGTAAGCACCCTCACTGTCGTGGCGATCCCTAGATGACCGCTTGCGTGTGMTATGGTTACCGCCACGTCTATCTCTATCACTGCTTTCGTCTTTGGCTCCAGATGAAATTTTGTCGGATTGTGAATCGGATATGTCTCGTCGTGACTTGGTATAGGCTGTCGTGTCTGTCTGTCCTTTGACTTTTCCGTCCACCTCAGTCTTTTGATCCTCAATAGAAGGATCTACAATTCCCCACCACTTCAGGAKTTACAATAATTAAGTGAAGGCGTCAACACATCAAAAAATACAAACACGACAATGGTYCGRAAAAATCGATAAGAGGATTGACGCATAACCAGTACTCTGTTTGTAGATTCTGATAATTTGAAGAATCGATGCCATATGCAAATGAAATGTGCATCGCTTATTCGGTAAACAACGGATCGAACCTAGATTGTGATTGTGGAGTACGGGAGAACACTCGCGTGCACCAAATTAAACCGCATCAGAAGCCAAAAAAGAATAGAAACTTCCTGAAATGTTCGTAGTTTACTTACCGACAATGGCCACTGTTTTGCCCCTTGCGGGAAATCTTCTGGAAAAATAGGTATCTTTGGTTGCAAAACAATATTTCCGGTCTCTTCATCRGTGTCAAAAAAGTCGTATTGAAGGTTGTTGCCCGGCTTTAAATCTTTGTGTCGCAAGAAACTGGCAAACAAATCGACACCATTTCGTTCTGGTGGAACCGGGAAGGTTTCTTTGCACAAGTCTCGAAGACCATCCCAAACAAGTTTTCGCAATTTTTCTACTTCGGTAACTACTCTGGAGGACGGATGGTTTGTTGGACCTGGGTTCTGGATCAAATTAGCAGCATCGGATGGAGGAGGAGGAGTTGCGACCSGAGGAGCTGGAGACATCCTTTGCGGAGATTTGGGTCTTATTGTATTTGGTGGTCCTCGAGACGACGGCAATGGTCGTTGTTTGTCTTTTTTTATACTATGGACTATGATCGGCAGAGGTTTTTTCATCCCCGACAAAAGAGAAGGGGTTTCTTTCTTTGTTTTGCCATTCTCACTAGTTTGAGYCTTTTCGCCATCTTTTACGCTAGATTTTTTTGGTATTGTGAGAGTTTTCTTTGCCTTTTTGGGTATCGTTTGTTCCGTCTTCGATGCTTTGGTGGGACTTGGTGCTTTCCGCGTTGATTTTTGGGCCTCATCTTCCGCCTTTGCCTTGATCCGTTTCTGTTCCGAAGCTTCCGCCGTTTTAGCAGCCCGTCGCTTCAATCGATTTATCATGCCTAGGGCCTGATTGGCAGATTTGTCCCGGTCACTACTCTCGCCATGGTCTTGGATAGCTAGCTGCCTCCGCCGGGTCGACATATTGCTGATCTCAAACTATTCTTCCTGTCACAGAGCACTTGTTTTGAATACTGGGTGAGGCCATAAAAACAGTTGCCTTATTTGTTAGTAATTGGTGCTCTTAATGTCTATCATCCACAATGCTGTTGACCTTATTGCGTATTGAGGATGGAGATGCAACCGCTGGAGCCAACTTTACTAACGTACKGTATCGGATGCAATCAAAACATTCGAAAACATGCAGGATGATACCGTAACGTAATCCTGCTGTGATGTACCGTACTGTACCGTACAACCAGTATTTTCTACTACTGTACAAAACACTACAAGACGACTTCTTTTGTATGGCTGACCCCTGCCTTACCGTAGCCTACTGTACGTTACGTACGGAATGGCAAAGTACTGTAATCGAAGCAAGGGTCTATTATTTCATATTTTGACCCCCGTGACTCGAAGCACTGCTACTAAAATTAACACCCCGTCCTCTGATCTTGGTGGCACGTGCTGTCCCTATCCAAAAGAAAATTCGAGGGGCACCATTGATACAGAGGATGCTGATACAGAGGATGCTTGTACAGAGGCTTGCTGATGCAGAGGCTTGCTGATACAGAGGATGCTGATATGGAGGCTTGCTGATAGTAAGGAGGCTCCCTGATACAGAGGAGGATGCTGATACAGGAGAGGAGGACGAGTTGCTGATATGGTGGATGCTTGTTGCTGATACAGAGGAGGCCAATACAGAGGCTCACTGATACAGAGGATGGTGATAGTACAGAGGATGCTGATACAACAAGTTGCTGTTACGGAGAATGCTAATACAGAGGTTTGCTGATAAGGAGGCTCACTGATACTACAAAGGCTTGCTGATACAAGTCACTGATACGGAGGATGCTGATATAGAGGATGCTGATACAAGTCACTAATACAGATGAAGACACTGATATGGAGGACGCTGATACAGAGGAAGACAACACTCCTGATATGGAGGACGCTGACACGGAGGACAATGATGACAAAGGACACTTACAGCTCTTCAAAGGAGGCCCCCTATTC